CAGGGAAGCATTTAAACCGAGCAAGCAGTTGTAAATGCGCTGGTTCTCGGTCCGTAGGAGAACCTTCGACCAGACTGGCCGCTGCAGCCAGGTATGTTTCTCTGTGAGACATTGCCAGCATGGAGTGTCGAGCGAGGGTGTCCAGCTGTTGCAAGGTACCTTGTGGTACCGTGGCAACCGGTGGGGCACGGACCCCCAAACGCTCCACATGGGCTTCCGCGGAAGGACCAGCCTCGGGAAAGGCAAGGTCATGTACCGGGAAAGACCCTTTTCTCCACGACGGTGGAGGTAACGGGAGACCCCGACCGGAGGCAGCCGCGAAGGCCTTCTCCTAAGAAGGCTTAATCCCGCGCAGCAAGGTTGATGCCGGGAAAGCCTTGTCGGACGTCTCGTCGTACACCTCGGAGGAACCCACGGAACCGTGGATTCCCCGCGGTATCGGCAGGGGCTTTGGCATGTCCTCGATAGCGGAAGCAACGGTTCGAGGAAGGACCGGTCACCACGGCAGCCGCCGCCGTACTGGTGGACCCCGCGTCCGAACCCGCGGCCACCGAAGAGGGTGGGGACGGAACAGCCAGCGGCCTATCTTGCGATAAGGCCGCCAGCTTGGAGTCCACAAGTTTCGACAACAATGTGGCGACGGAATCCCCTGACAGCCCGAGGGCTGCAAAGGGATCCGCCGCAGCCGAGGAGGTGGTACCCGCACGGGGACCCCGACCGGACGAACCGGCCACCACAGGGGTGGAGACGGACTGTACGTACAGTCGGTAACGCTCAAACTCCGCAGGCCCCAGACCTTCGCACAGGGTGCACCGGGTGTCCCCGCAAGGAACCCTGCACTGCGGGCAATGATCGTGGGGATCCCGGGATGACAAACTTTCGGCACACCCCTCAACTCTAAGGAGCAGGGGTAGAGGGGGTGGAGACTGGGGACAATTCCATGTCAGACATTGTTTGTATTCTATAAACAAAGAACAAAACATGGTTACAACCAGGGGTCCGGAAACCGTCATATGCGCCGGACATGTCCGATTGGGAATCTCAAATGTCCGTTTTAAAATATTGCTTACCGGACATTTTAAAAAGTATTGTCCGGACATTCTTAAATTTTGACCGGACATGATCAACAGTTAGGACTGAGCAGTTTCTGTCTGCAGTTGCAACACAATGAAGATTAACTACACTGACAAGCTTTGTTTGTTTCGATTGCTGTAAATACATCGTACCTACATGATAGTCCAATTGGTCAATCACTGTAATAGGCAATAAACTGAGTTGACACTGATTAATCGAGGATTAATTACTGAGAACATCTTGTTAATTTGAGTGAAAGGTGTTTACAACTGTACATTAATACCTTGCATCATCGATGTACCTCATTATCCTCACAATGCTACGATACGTAACCTGAGACAAGAAGCGAAAGCGTGACGACAGCCAGTCGACCGATGCAGATCAGTCGAGCGGATCTGCCAAACCCTCAAAGTCTGGACGATCATTTTGTAAGTCGTGGCTAACGACTTTTACTTGGTTGACATACAATGAGGATTTGCAGATTTTATTGTTTTCAGTAGCTAGTCGTATATTGAATCTTGATTGACCGCCATTTTGCTTTCTCGGACGATCGATATCCAATTTTTTTATGGTCAATAAATAAGTACAGATGAAAAAAGTATTCAAATAACTATTGCTATCAACGATATATTTTTGTATTTGTGATTAAATTATCTGTCTTGTTTTTAAAAAAATCTTTAGTTTAAAAAAAAAAATTCCTGTGAGGTCACGTGATAACCAAATATGGGATAATAGTCTCGATCCAAATGTTACAACGCGTACACTTGAGCAGACTCATGAATATAACTCATGAATATTAATTAGACCGTTCACTACGTTAACAGATCGTTATTATAAAAGAAACAAACGTATGTTTTCCATGTAAATCTAAAATGATATTATTTGTTATTAATTGTACGGTGAATTAAACAATTTAAATTGAAACAATTCATAATTCATCATATTATGAACACGTAAACTTGTAATGTGTGTGAAAAGTCGTACTAAAATACGCTATTTGAAGGGGGCGTGGCCTAAATGCAAATGTCCGATTGGGATTTTAAATTTTCCGGACCCCTGGTTACAATGCACGCACCACAATGATTCACAAACGAGCAAGAAAACAAGAAAATAAACGAGCAATGTGAACATATAACATACAAATATAACTTTTATTAAAGAAATAAGTGATGTTAACCCCCAAAACATACAAGAACAGGGGAAACGTAAAACACAACGTGCATACGCGAACCCCGCAAGTATATAGAAAAAAGGGCGGGAAAATTTTTCCGTTTGGCAGGAAAATTATAACCAAGCGTAGCTACAGCAACGCCCCATAAAAGCACAGTTTATTAGAGAATAAACTCTAATAAATATCACCAAATATTCAAGGAACGCTTCAGCAGTAGGTATACACGTCTTGCTATGCAGACGAAGGAGACAAGAGTGAAGGGTGTCACATGGCAGCTAGGTGGCTACGCACGTGCTGCATGAGGTAGTTGAGATCTCTGTGGCAGATTTCGCTATAGCAGCAGTTGTGGGAGACAACAGCCTCGGTATAACAGTGGTAACGTATTACTTAATGTAATAATAAACACAGGTGTTAAATTTCAAGATTTCAAGTCTGTTTGGCGCAAAATGAGAACAATGAATTGGAAAATAACTCAAAATCTGGAATTGTCTATTAAATGTCAACATGGTTCACAGCAATGAATACCCTGTTTCCAACAATATCTGCTGTTTCTTATTTTTATTTTTATTCTCATAACGGGAAAATATTGTTTAAGTAACTATCATGTTGTTATGTGTACAAGCTGACATCTTGACCGGAAGGGGGAGCATAACAGTAGGAGGTGCAGCGCAAACATTGTAGAATCCCATGGTGACAGAGAGATGACTGATGCTGCACGATGGGAGAGCAGGTCAAGAATACCGTCACCTTGTCCAGGACCACTAGGACTGCATCATGAAAGAAGGTATCATTCGAGACTTGTGAGACAGTGATGATGACAGGGCCTCCATCGCAGACAGGGTGGTGGAAATCAGAGGCAGCGTACATCGAACCGTCAAGTTATAGTGAGAAAGTTCATGATCCTCCAGTGTTGAAGACATAAAGGAACACTGAGGACACAGGGTAGAGACATCACCATCCAGTATCTGAGGAGAGACAGTAGCAGACATCCTGTGGGTGCCGGCATCCTCCAAGGCAAATTGGAGAGAATGAAGCCGATTGCGTAGGTGTCAAAACGAAACAAAAGCCCGATCCAGATTGGTGGAGGAATTTCACAGCACCAGTCCTCCTTGCCGAGGAATCAGCAAAACCCAAATGATCCTCCGCGTACATACAGCAATCCAGATGGAGTTGATCAGCGATCCAGTGTAGAACTGAAGCAAGGCCGGCAGTTACGAAACTCTCTGTAGAGGAAGTCAGAGAACAGTGAAGGTCCATTACTTCAGCAGCTGGTGCAAGTCCACAACTAAGGGAACCAGAACCGCAGAACTAACAGGAGCAGTCTGTGAAGGAACTGGTCGCAACAGGAGGCACCGATGACCTTGGTGACTGCCTGTACAAGGGAGTCGAAGTTCAGTTCGGGTCAAGAGGCTGGTCCCTGTGATTCCAAGAAGTAGGGAGTAACTGCGTAGGTGGCAGGAGCAACTGGAGCCGATGAGACGAGAGGAGCCCAAACGGAGACTTCGAAGGAGAACTAGGAACAATTATGTGAATGACAATCCCGCCAAGGTAGAGTCGTACAAATGACAATCAGCTGGGGAAGATCAGTGACGGTCATTTCGGCGAACTCGAGTAGTCTGGGGATCATGAGCTGGAGAGCGCCTGTATCCATTACAAGTCGGCCGATCCTGAATGTTGATTGTGAAAGCGAGAGCGGCTATCGGAAGAGCTTCGATTCCAGGATCAGGTGGAGGAGTCTGTTCGTTGAACCTTGGAACTGCGATGCCAAGGAGTGTGATCAGGATTTGGGAGGATCGTTTGATCGAGCTTCTTGTGGACTGTAAGCCTTGGGTAAGGAACAAGATGGAACCTGATGCTTCCTGGGAGACAGTGAGCCTTTATCGGCAACATCTTCTGTCAAAAAGCTGTCAGAATCCCGTCTTTAGCCAACGATAGTACTGGTAACGAGGAGTCTAGGGGGACAGCAGTAGACACGGTTGAAAAACAAGGTTTGTTCGTTGATTTATTAGTAACAACGGACAGCAAATTAGGCTTTGTTGCATCCTTAGACTTCTTGTCAGAGTCTCAGGATTTGGAGCTGTGATCAACTTCTGTCGATGGTATGGCCCTTGTGTAGGTAAATAGAAAATGCAGCCTCCAGAAGGTGTTTATATTCAGTACAGCGTGCTTCCAAACTGCATCTACCGCAACAAGCACAACACTTTTGATGCAGTTACGTGATATATTGTTTAATGACAAAAACTCACTGTAGCTCAGTGGTTACACTACAAGTCGCTAATGTTTGCATTTCTCTCTGACGATGCACACATTCCTTTTGACTTGTATATGTTTGAGTAAAAATAGAGATTTAGTCAACTTCAGTGTACCCATGATCTGATTGTTTGTTACATGTATCTAAATAGTTTTTTCCAGGGCTGCGGTAAAACAATTCCCAATCAGTCATTTTGTTCCCAAAAGTTGAGACCAACAGTGGGTACCCGGGTTTGGTCGGGTAATAGGGGGTCGGGTACCCAGGTAGTAAATTTGGACTTGTCCCAGCCCTATTAGGCACGTTATCAGGTCTATGCATAGGATTACGTGCATGACCCATTTGTTCGGGTGGTGACCATGGTGATGCTTGGATGTGTTCAGGTGAATTGTTCTTAGAAGCTGGAAACTCTGTTCAAGCACATTTCAACATATTATCGAAGAAGAAAGTAGAAATGAATAGAGATAGGATAATTTTAAAAAAAACAATATCTATTTTTCAACCCACCTTGGGTTTGGCTGCAGCAGGTTTCTTGTGCACCATGATCTGCTTGCGGCTACCATAGTCCGAGAGACTTGGATGCTGCAGCTTCCGGTTCCTGTATTGTGTACATAAACTTATGGATGTATAGCAACAAAACACTACTAACAGTGAGACATCACTGCTCTAGCAGATAGTTATACAGCAGCCACCTCAGGCTTCTACTGTGCTGGGACTGTGACACATCCGGCCCGAGTTCGATTTACAAATTTGTAAAGCCCATTTCTGGTGTCCCCGCCATGATATTTCTGGAATATTTGCTAAAAGCGGTGAAAAATACAACTCACTCACTCACTGTAACACATCATTAACTGATCACTGCTCTCTAGCAGATTGTTATACACCAGCCTCCATCCTCAGGTTTCCACTGGACTGAGACTGTATTGTTTTTTGTTTATTTAACGCCGCACTCAGCAATATTCCAGCTGTATGACGGCGGTCTGTAAATAATCGAGTCTGGACCAGACAATCCAGTGATTGACATCATGAGCATCGACCCACACAATTGGGACAGATGACATGCATCAACCAAGTCAGCGAGCATGACCACCCGATCCCGTTTGTTGCCTCTTACGACAAGCATAGTCGCTTTTTATGGCAAGCATGGGTTGCTGAAGATCAGTTCTACCCCGAATCTTCACGGGGTCGACTGAGACTGTAACACATCATTAACTGATCATTGCTCTAGTAGATAGCTATACACCAGATTCACACCTCAGGTTTCTACTGGACTGGGTCTGTAACACATCAGACTGTGAACCCGGATCGGCAATACTGTCATGGCTCTGGAGGGAGTCATTCAGGACGGATGAGTCAGCACTTTTGTTTGGAGATGCAAACATGGCGAGGGAGTCTGGAAGGGGCTGCATCAGTTCATCATACACACTGACCAACAGTCTCGGCAGCGTCGCGGAGTAACTGCAACACAAGCCAACAGCATCTACAGACTGTCCTGGGCCCTTACAGTAGACAGAACAACATTTATCATATAATGGGTAGGTTTCTCAGCAGGATAAAGCAGCGATAGAAATTGGCAATCATCCTATAGTCCTTGCCAAACTGCCCAATAGTTAAGGTACCGTAGGGACTAGTAGAAATTTTCCATTTTTATGGGTTTGCCATGTTATCAGTATAATTTTTAGTTTCTATTGCTGTAAAGCTAACAAGATAAAGCAGGTATATGTTGGGGGTATTTACTCGTATTAACAAAGGGCAGGTAGGGGCAAACATGGTAGGAGGGGGAGGGGGGAAAAGGGAGGGAAGTTAAAAACCAATAGTCTTAGACATTTACAGCTGCTTTCATGAAACCCACAAGCACGGGTTTGGTGCTTAAAGGCCAAGGATCATCCAAGGGCAAACCCATGCTCAGCAGATACTGGCAACACAAAGGGACACAACTCTGCACAGAGAATTAGTGTTCTAGACCACTGAGCAATTGTGCCCCAATGCCAGTACCTTGTGCAACATTGTACCATCTCCGTAGTATCGCTACTTCGACTAATGTCTAGCTGTTGCTGAAGTATTCCTCAATGATGGACTCACTCACCTGGTTAGAATGACATTATTGAGGAACTTGGGAACGAAGCCTGGTTCTTCGATGAACGATAAAGTCCTCAAAATGTTCACCACCTGATCAGAACAATGAACATTTGTTTGTCGGACATGTTAAATTTGTGTCTATTCAGAATCAAAGAAATAGCTTCAGATGTTTAGGATATCCAAAAAACAAGTCCATTAACATTTATGTAAAACTTAAAACATCTTTCTATCATCAATATGAGCCTAAATTATTTGGTTCTAAACATAACAACAGGCACCATAATGATGTTCCTCAATCCTAATGATCAAACATGAAGTACAAAATATCAGTTACGTCCCTTTCACAAACCCTTTCATGATATTGCCTATATGTATTGATAAACATCAAAATATATTTCAAAGAACAATACTCTGCAGAAAATATGTCACATGCAAAACAAGAAAACCGTCCAAAAGAGCCAAAAATTACCTCGTCCACACGCTTCTCTATGTGGGAGTCGTCGGCACTGAGGACAGCTGACTCCATCTCCAGCAACAACAGAGTCTGCAGCTTGTATCTGCACAAACACAGGTCACAATCAAATATTCCTTCATCTAGTTTATCTAGTTTAATGGAAGTATTCAGCATACTTAGCACCCTTAGCAAGTTTACTGAAAAGCCAAAAATAAAGTGGTTTTTTTCTACAAAAGGTCAAAATCAAATACAAATACTCATTTATCTAATTTTGTGTAAGTATCAGTTGATTTAGCATAAACGCAATAGTTTGTGTTTTTTCCTTATTACACGTCAATAAATTTGTCAAATTTGTCAACAATGGTCGATAGGGAATAACCCATGGAATTTGATGTGGCTAAAAACATATATATTGTGGAATATAGTTCATGACACTTACTCGGTCATCTTCATGGACTTGTCTGCGTCTGAGGCCCGACTCTGATACTTCTCCCTCAGTGCAGCACTGGACACGACAACCTCTCGCTGTACCAGCTCTGTGGCCTGAACCTGATCCGAGGATACAGTGGGGAGCAACAGTGAGATGGAGATGGACAAAAAGAGACACAAGACACTCTGTGTTTACAGTGTAAAGACATGGATCAGACTTTAATAATACTTATCCTATCTCACACTATGCATTTCTCTTCCTTTGTTCAATGTCAACTGGAGAAGCCAACTCCACCTACGACAAATTCAGTCCTTTCTCAAGCCCTATCTCCAGAATGACGATTGTCAGATTCTAATCTCCCTGTTAAACCACATATGTCCACATCTTCAAAGGTGGCTAGTTCCATTGAACATCTGCGAAGGAGTCTCCTTGTGGCAATTTATCCCGAAGCTACGTCTCTATGTCGACCCACAATCATGAGTTGGGGAGCTCATTGCCAGGAACTACAAGTGGCATGGCGGTAGTCTCACGAAGAAAACCATCTTCACATCAACGCCCTAGAGTTCAAAGCAATGAATTTGGCCGTGTCACAATGGGTGACACCCCTTCACTCCTCCAGTCTGATGATCCAGGAGGACAACCTATCCATTGTTTGGTACCAAGTCGATGTCAAGTCACCAAGCCACTACTGTCTCCCTGGCAAGAGTTTCTTCCACTGATCGACTCACTCAATATTTAGGCACGGGTGAGACACATCTCCAGCATCTCCAGTGTCACGGCCAACTCCCTGTTCCAACCCGACAATGGAATGGCGCCTACAGCCAACAGTTTTCCAGTGGATTTGCCAGTTATTCCTGTGCCCAAATGTCGATCTCTTCGCAACCTGCTTCAACACTCAGCTATCCCGGTTAGTATCCTTGGGACCACAACATGTCAGTAATCTTGTGGGAGGGCCGACATGCTTACGTCTTTACCCCAACCAGTGTTCTACCTCATGTCCTGCAGAAGATAACATCCACCAGTCACCTCACACTGCTTCTGGTCGGGACCCTATTGGCCAACATGGAGTTGGTTCACCACGCTCATCTTACTCACAGACAGAAGATTTCATCATCACCCTCTAAGACTCAATCTTCTTCAACCTCACTCACAGCTGCTCCACCCGTCGCCCGAAACCCTCAATTTGTGCATCTGCCGCATTTACACATATCCCATGTAGCCAAGAGTTACTTCAGAAGGGTTGCCGAGACCATTTCTGAGGCTCACAGATCATCAACCAAGTCGCTATACATTCATAAGTGGAACGCTTTTGAAGCCTACTGTCACGTGTGTGATATATTGATGCCCGCTACTGCGTCTCCACAAAAAGTGATCAATACTTTTACCATCTTCGGTCGTCACGTAAGCTTAAGGGTTTTACCTTAGCTACGTATTGCCATCAATTCTGTTGTTGCTAATAAAACGGGCTCAAAGATCTCTCCGATTGCTGAGCTGTAAGCATTAATTCAGTCTTACAAGCTGTCGGAACAGTCATCTCAGTTCTGACCACTGACCTGGGATCTTGACATCATACTTCGTCATCTAACTTCGGCTGATTACCAACCTCTAGCAGAGGAGTTTGAACTCAATCGTTCCTCTTTCCATCTTAAACTATCAATTCAGTTAATTCAATCACCGATACAGTGATTGATGGTTTCAATGAAGCATAAAAATACATGTCAAGTTGGTTGGTCCTATCGTCCATTGGAGATAGTGATACACTTATGTTGTAGAATAAGTCACACACTGACAAAGTAGAGATAATTTATGGATAACAACTTCTTTATTTAATAATAATAATAATAATCCATTTATTAAATAAAGAAGTTGTTATCCATAAATCATCATCCATCAACTTCTAACTTCTGGGGAAACCACGTGTTCAGCACATGTCAATTGGCAAGAAAAGAATGCATGACCCTGATTTCTGGGAAGGTAACCATGGTAATGCTGGGTGTATTCGCATGAATTGTTTTTTAAGAAGCTGGAAACCTTTGTCAAGGAACGTTTCCACTTAGGATTGAAAGAAGGAAGAAAAATGTATAGGATAAGTTTTAAAATTTTGATTTTCACATGCAGTGAACTACGTTTATAACGAACAAGCTTATAATGAATTGACGGATTTAACATGTTTTTTGGTCCCATCTGTTTGCTGTATATATGCTGTATACATGCTTATAAGGAACTACCGTTATGATGAAGTAAATTTAGTCCCTTTGAGTTCATTATAACCAGAGTTTTCTGTATTTCTAATGAAGTGTAACCTATCTGACACACTGTCCTACCTTCACCCTATCTGACTGGGTGTCCTCACAAAGCATGCAGTATCTGATGAAATGTCCAACCTCCTTGTGAATTGTACAGTCTATGACATAGTGTCATACCTGCACCCGAGGACACTGGGTCTCCTTATGAAGTGCATAGCATCTGATATACTGCCCTACATACAGATTGTGACATATTACACTACATACAGTGTCTGACACATTACCTTGAGTACAGTATCCAATATATCTGATATAATCCCCGACATACATCATCTGATATATAACCCTAAGACACTATCTAATGTATTGCCCTACATAGTGTCTGCCGTCTTGCTTCTGCATACAGTATCTCATCTAGTGCCCTAAATGTACTCAGTGTCTGCCATATTGCCCTACATGTATAGTGTCTGCCATTTTGCCATACCTGTATACAGTGTCTGCCATATTGCCCTACATGTATATTGTCTGCCATATTGCCATACCTGTATACAGTGTCTGCCATATTGCCCTACATGTATATTGTCTGCCATATTGCCATACCTGTATACAGTGTCTGCTAAATTGCCCTACCTGTATACAGTTTCTGCCGTACTGCCCTACATACAGTGTCTGCCGTATTGCCCTACATGTATACAGTGTCTGCCATATTGCCCTACATGTATGGTGTCTGCCGTACTGCCCTACATACAGTGTCTGCCGTATTGCCCTACATGTATACAGTGTCTGCCATATTGTCCTACCTGTATAGTGTCTGCCGTACTGCCCTACATGCAGTGTCTGCCGTATTGCCCTACATGTATACAGTGTCTGCCATATTGCCCTACCTGTATACAGTGTCTGCCGTACTGCCCTACATACAGTACCTGCTATACTAGCTCACCTCTGGATTATCTGCATGTGCCTCCTTCATAAAGTGCACGGCAACTGTGACCATCATCTGCACACAGGCCTCCAGGCCATCCTCCGCCTCCAGGGTCCGGCTGTACAGATCCTGCAGGTACTGGCCGACACTCTCCTCCGTCTGCAGGTCTATGCAACACACCATGGCAATTGTTGGAGAAATATATCATTGAAACTCCAAGAATGGACTTCTACTGCAAGTACCGAGATTGAACTCACAGCAAAATCATCAACTACAATGACATCTATGACTTAACAGAACAGTAATGGAACTAGTGACATTTCCTGATGGACTACTGCTTTAATCATTGGTTTGATGGCATAATAACAGACTACTTTTCTTCAGCGTTTTAGTTAAAGGAGGTAGTTTATACAAACTAAGATATTCTAGTTATATCGTGGTGTGTCAGCTTAATGTGGGAGGAAAGCCCGAGGTGATGCAGGTCTCAGACGTTTACCCCTTCAGTGAAACCCACGAGCACGGGTATGGTGCTGACAAACATAATCGGGGGAAACCAGTATTCGAACCCTCAATCATAGGTTTCTGTGTAGCCAAGGGACGCAACTCTGCACAGCTAATCGCGGTGCCTTACCAACTGGGCCCCCCCATACAAATTAGGAATAAGTATGGTACTTAACACCTCTATTGACCAAACAATTAAGGTTTGTGTGAATTAGCCGATTTGATGAGAAACATGCCCACAGTACCCAGATTGGTGACATCAATGTGCTGTCTCTCAGTCTGTTTGTCCACCAGAGATGAGTCCCCCTCTGTCTTGGTGTTCTTCTTCACGGCTGCCTTGCTCCGACACACCATCATCATCCCGCGGTTCAGCTTCGAGTTCCTCGTCTTCCCCTCCGGTCTGTCCACTGACCCATCATCTGGGTCTGCCATCAAACACCAGTTGTGTCACCAAGTACAACATCCTTGTCACAAGTATGTGGACATGATAAGACACTACACTACCATAAAGCATGCTAACGCTGCACTCAGCAATATTCCAGCTATATGACGGTAGTCTGTAAATAATTGATCTGAACCAGACAATCCAGAGATTGACTTTGTGAGCATCGATCCACGCAATTGGGATATGATGACATGCATCAACCAAGTCAGTAAGTCTGACCACCTGATTCCGTTAGTTGCCTTTTACGGCAAGCATGGGTTGCTGAAGACCTATTCTATCCTGGATCTTCACAGGTCTTCTGACGTAAGAACTGTCAGTATTTCCAACATGTCCAAAGTCTACCACGAGTTGACTTGGTGTTTAAGGTCATCAGTACTTCATTATCTGGAAGGAAAGCTGACGGTCACCATGCGGCCATGAACAGCAGTTAAAAATTATGCACCCAGCATTTTCAAGATGTAGGGCAAAGCCCTTACTTCCACTACGACCAGGTCAGTCAGTGGTCAGTCAGTGGTCAGTGAGTGAACGTTTCATCAATATTCCAACAGTCTAAAATTACTGAGTCTAGGTCAGATAAATAAGTGGCTGATAGCATGAACAACAATCCACGCTGTAAGGATGCAATGTCAGACAAGGAGCAAGGGTACACAGTGTATTCAGTTCATCCTCAGAAGCCCGTCTTTCGACCGACATGGAGTTCTGAGGACAAATGCTGAACTGGAATCTAAGACCACTAACTGGTTTTACTGGTTACACAATCAGTACAAGAAACTGTCTGCTTGGGAGGCTTTCTACCAGGCACCACATCACACAAAGGTCCACAACTCCGCAGGTCAAACTGTGCTGCCTTCAACAACTGGTCCACCATGCACTATTCAACATGTTATTTAATGCCACACTCCAATATTGCAGTTATATGAGGGCGACCTGTAAATAATAAAGTCCGGACCAGATCAGCCTGTGAAGGATATGAGCAACACCCCATGTCGTACGATGACAATTAACAACCAAGTCACCGAGTGAATCAACCCATTCAGTCGCCTGTTATGACATTAAATGGTTGCAGGGGACCTAGTCGGTAATGTATTTCTGTACGTAATTTGTAATCTTGAGATGTCTCACCCCTGGAAATAAGGTCCTGGTATGACAAGACACACATTTATCTTCATCAAAGCAAGATTCCTGTACCTAACTCACAAACCAGACCACATCATTTCCCTGTTGAACATGAAAAACACTATATATATCTCCACCTGTTCCTGTCTGCGTCGTGTCTGGCTGTGGTCGCGATCTCTGTATCAAGGCTTGTGGTTGGTTATCTTTCCTGTACATTTTCTGGAGAACTTTAAGTGTCTCTTTCTCAGCCGATGTTAAAAAGTCAAGGTCTTTGAGTCTACAAATAGAAACATGGAGGAAGTGTTTTCACTAATAACTATGGCTGTATAGCTTCCTTAATAGCTGCCAGAAGAGAAAATGCCAATACTTAGCATACACATATGTTCTGATGAATGACATATAATTGATCTATCATAAAACACTCTACCTCTGGCTTCCATCAGCTTAATGTCCCTGATTGTTGATTTACGCTGTTTATCTAGCAATGGCCTGTAAATGATCAAGTCTGGACCAGACACTTCAGTGATTAACGTCATGAGCTTCAATCTATGCAATTGGGGTACAATAACATGCATCCACCAAATCAGTGAGCCTGATCGACTCTTAAGACAAGTATGGGTTGCTGAAGACCAATTCTGATCCTAATTTTCAATGGGCTCAGCTTCATCTGATCACATTGCAACGTAATACAGTCAATGCAGAGTAAAGTGCATACTTGAAGCCTCGCTGTATTGATGTCCAAGGGAGCATCACCTATTAGTCAAGTCATCCGTAGTTCAAGACAAGCGAAATGCTGGTAAGTATTTTATTGTACAATTGTTTACATGTTTTCCCAAGAGTATGAAAGTATTCTTTCTTTATCATAGCAAACATGCAGAGCAATACTTTGGAGTAGTTAGCATTTCGTTGTAGACATTAGTCTGTAAGAAAGATGTAAGATAGATGTAAGGATGGATAGTCTGTCTACAACTATTATTAGAGTGAGTGAGTGAGTATGGTTTTACGCCGCTTTTAGCAATATTCCAGCAATATCACGGCGGGGGACACCAGAAATGGGCTTCACACATTCTACCCATGTCGGGAATCGAACACGGGTCTTCGGCGTGACGATCGAACGCTTAAACCACTAGGCTACCCGACCGCCCAACTAGTATTAGAACACAAACATGATCATAGTTCTGACAGTTATTCTCATTGGACCAAAAACATCATAAATCTTGGAGGCAATGCTGCTGTGCATCCTCATCATAAGACGTGACTGGATTGTGATGTTGGTTCTTGACTTAGATAGGAGTTCCAACACAAAGATTAAATCATTTAGCTGTATGTATAAAGTGATCAGAAAATTCATCCTAATTTTTATTATTTCCAAACAACAACATCTTATTCTCCATAAATAAGCTAGAAGTTGGAGGTGCTCTGTCGACAGGAGAGGGCTCAAGAAATACATATGAAATACATACGAGAGGTGTACAGCTTCAGACACAGGTTAAACAAAGGTCAGTGATTCTGGTGAATGTCAGCTGCCTATAAATATCACCTGCTGTTGAGTTTACTGATGAGAGCAGGCAGGCCTCTGGAGGTGCCAGGGAGATGCCAGGGGTTGATCACCTGGGGGTTGTAGCACCCGGCCAGAGCTGCAGTTCGGCCCCCTGGAATACATAAATTGTAATATTACTCTTCACACAATGGTATTCATAATTTCTATAAATGTCAGGTTTTTTTTGTCATAGTAGAGAGTATGACCCTTCCCCTCTCAGTGAGGGCTTCACGCATTGTGCCAATGTGGGGTGGGGTGGGGTGGGGTGGGGTGGGGTGGGGTGGGGTGGGGTGGGGTGGGGTGGGGTGGGGTGGGGTGGGGTGAGGTGAGGTGAGGTGAGGTGAGGTGAGGTGAGGTGAGGTGAGGTGAGATGGGGTTTAACATTGCTTTCAAGATTATTGCACATATTTAGCAACGAGCATGCATGTGTGTGGCTGCTAGTATTAGTCTGGACAAATGTTGGTTTCATGGTGCTATCCTACTGAGATACCATGTCTCAGGTTAAACATGTATATCCATTCAGACACATTATACTGACTCTGAGTTTACCAGACCTTGTTTTACCCGTTAATGCCGAACGCCAGTCAGGGAAACAACAAGTACCATCTTTTACCGTCTTTGGCATGATGCGATTGAGGATCGCACCACAAACCTTCCACTCTATAGGCAGACGCTCTATCCAGTAGACCATTGAGGTGGTCGACCATGCAGGGATCCAAACCTGGCCTTCAGTGTGATGAGCCATTGCTATAACCTAGAGGCTACCCAACTGTCTCATGTTCTTTTCCTTCCTAGATCTAAACATCAGACATGACTACCTGACTTTCTGCAACTGTTGTGAGATCGTCTAGAAAACATCTTCCCCTTCACAGCCTGACAACCCATCTTCAATGCAGAATGCAGGTTGCTGAGACGACTCTCGGTTTGAGCAACGTCAGGCGGCGAAGAACACCTCCCAGACTAAAACACAAAATAGTTCCATATACCATACATTTACTATCAAGGACATAATCTTAAATAACAAATCTTAAATGAGGAAGTTAACACCATAATTAACATAAGTAATTCACATTTGCCTGAGTTTTTCTTATCATTTCTTAACATTAATAGTTTATAGTTTGTTTGTTTGTTGTTTAACACCACACTCAGCAATATTCCAGCTATATGACGGCAGTCTGTAAATAATCAAGTCTGGACCAGACAATCCAGTAATTGACATCATGAGCATCGATCTATGAAATTGGGATATGACATGCATCAACCAAGTCAGCGAGCCTGACCACCCGATCTAGTTAGTCGCCTCCTACGGCAAGAATAGGATGCTGAAGACCTATTCTACCCCTGATCTTGATAGTTTATAAGCCTGTAACACATTATCATGATACCAGCCCATGCTAATCCATGTGATCTATAAAAGTCCCAATATCCTAAGGTAACATCACACTATCATCTGTATTCATGAGTCCCCAAACAGAAAACTTACAACAAAGTATTTAGTGGTTTTCAGTATTAGGACTGAAAGAACAAGCTATGACCCGGCTATACACTACACAGAGTAGCTGACAAAATGAAGGTGGTCCAGTGAGTCCACTGACAACCAGGTTGTGTTCTGCTCCTACCTGTGTGAGACAGGCCTTCTCCACATGCAGTGTCGCCCCCAGGGGCAGCAGTGTGAGGACAGCTGTGTGGGCCGACACAGTGTCTAGCACAGCCAGGTGTGGGGAGGCGTGGCCACCAGACTGCACTGTCAGCACCTTGGTAAGATCAGAGACATGTTTCTGTTACTGAGGATCATGATTTCCAAATGACTATGCAGAATATGCTTTAAAGGAGGACTATGCTTCATTTTCATTTCTGAGATCTGAAAGTATTAAAACTCCTCTTGATTCCTCTATCCACCAAAACTGCTCACTGTGGCCATCAGTCCTTCTCTTGAGACAGTACCCAAGCTTTTCACTCGTCAATTCTAGTCTAAACACTTGCTCCTGATTGCCTTTCACAGATTAACGTTTTTCACTGTGATGGTGTGTTTAGAACATGCTTGGTGCATGAAATAATGCCCACTAGCAGTATTAGTATTAATAGTAGTAGTAGTAGTAGTAGTAGTAGTAGTAGTAGTAGTAGTAGTAGTAGTAGTAGCAGCAGCAGCAGCAGCAGCAGCAGTAGTAGTAGTAGTAGTGCAATACAGTGGTAGTAGTAGTGGTAGTAGTAGTAGTAGTAGTGCAATATGTGCAAGGCAGTGGTGGTAGTAGTAGTAGTAGTGCAATACAGTGGTAGTAGTAGTGGTAGTAGTAGTAGTAGTAGTAGTAGTCGTAGTAGTAGTAGTGGTAGTAGTGCAATACAGTGGTGGTGGTAGGAGAAGTAGTAGTAGTAGTAGTAGAAGTAGTGCAATATGTGCAAGACAGTGGTGGTAGTAGCAGTGGTAGTAGTAGTAGTGGTGGTAGTAGTGCAATATGTGCAAGACAGTGGTGGTGGTGGTAGTAGTAGTAGTAGTAGTAGTAGAAGTAGTAGTAGTAGTGCAATATGTGCAAGACAGTGGTGGTGGTGGTGGTAGTAGTAGTAGTAGTAGTAGTAGAAGTAGTGCAATATGTGCAAGACAGTAGTAGTAGTAGAAGTAGTGCAATATGTGCAAGACAGTGTTTATGAATAGTTAGGGTTATCATTAACTGTCAACATAGTAAGACATATACAACATCAAATTTTAGATAACTAACATGGTGCTTGGACTGCCAATGTGCAGAGTATAGTCCACTTTGAAGAGGGGAATAACACCTAATGCAGATCATGCAAGATTTAAGGACTGTGATTACTTCTGTGATGAAAATGTAATCAAACATAAAATGAATTTCCAGTCTGTTTGTGATGTGAGTCTGAGTGTTAGAAAACCATGTTTAACTTAAATTTATGAATTGACAAATAAACTGTGAGTAATTTCATGGCTTTTGATTGTCTAACCAAGCCATTTCCTTGCATTTATGTTTCTATCAACCAAAACATATTAGACCACACCCACTACACTTTGCCTAAATCAGCTATTAATATTTACAGTGTGCACAATGTTTTTAAGGTTAAAACCTCCAGTCACCAAAATAAGACTAAAGTCAATTCTTAATCAAACATAACTCAACTATGAATGATCTACTTCTGTCATGTCTTGGAAAGGCAGTTAGAAGTGATACACATAAGGAAGAGAATTTATGGATGTCAACGTCTTTATTATCAGGAACACAACATTTTGGAGTATATGCTTACTACTTCATCAGGTGAAATGATGAAGGAGTAAGCATAAACTCCGAAACGTTGTGTTCCTCATAATAAAGAAGTTGACATCCATAAATTCTCTTCCTTACTTCTATCATGTCTAAAATGGAATGTTTCTTTCTTCATAAATCATTCCATCTCATTATAACTCCTGATAAGAAGCTACATACCAAAACACTATCCTTTCGCATTAAGCCTTGCAACAGATCTTGAAACACCTTGTTTGCATTTTCTGATGAAGTTGTCTCCCCTTGACCACAAACTGAAGTCCAGAAGCCAGCTGAGCCTGTCATTGAGTGTGTAGAATACATACACTTTGGAATGCAGCTGTGAACGGCCAGCTGTAGGTTTTTTGGAAGTGAAACATCATCTGACAGAACAGTCAAGCAGGTTTGTGATTCCTCATCCTTATTGAGATGCACTTTGACAAGCTTCTGATGAGCTTGTGGGACAAACTCCTGATTACTAGGCTGGGTGTACCGTGGACTGCAGTGGTCATTACTGTGATAAACAAGAAACAAACTCAGGACATTTATAGACACATAACTTATCCTAACAATACACATTGTAAATATCATGATATATATGTATCTATTCATGTGGGCTTTTTCAAACGTTTTACAAGTGGTTAGTGTTATAGTATATGAGACTTTGAAACACATTACAGTGATTGAATAATTTGTGAGGGAAGTTTAACCTTTAGCATGTTCAGCTTAGAAAGCTAACAACAAGATATTACACAGTAAAGATATGTTGTGAGTATATAGTACTATATACAAATAAATATCATGAGTAAACACTACAGAGTCACAAAAGGGATAAAAATATATATGCAAAGAAAATAGAACTATTAGCGTGCCATCCTCTAAATCTCCAGGGCTCGAATTTCGGTAAACCTACACTTAGCCCTGGAGACATTCCCATGGTCCTCTTGATCTGAAATTACGCGACCTTGATTCTATTTTCATTAACAGTTCATCGATCAATCAAACGTCCAGATAAGGAAGGATGTTTCTTTTGCATGTCAGTCACTTGTTCAAAGAAGAATTTCTTGCAAACTCATCGTAATCAATGGGATTGGCCATCATGCTGTTTATATCCCCAACCCAAAATTGAGGCTTGTTTGTAACATGTATACATGTATTTATAGAAGACGCAACACCATTATTGCCCAGTCAATGGATCAGTGTGCTCTCCAATGTAACTTTCTGCTCCCTGAGGAATGTACAAATGCAAAAAGTGAGATTGTTTCCCAATTTGTCTGCTGTAGCGTCACACAACACACAACTGGAACTTTACCTTTTCTTTGATTCTGAGACAGGCTCCAACTTTAAAATTATACTCTCCGTCCTGTCTTCTGGAAATCAACCAAAGCATTTGTATTAAGCCCATAAACACGGCTAAGAATTCGTGAATAATATATGACAGCAATTTCACATCGGTCAGTCTGTAAGAACTCAAGGTGATCCACAGCATGTTTTGAAATCAATGCAATCATACAATGCTACCACCCAATACCAAACAGAGACTGTCATGGTTACTAGGGACCTATGCAGCCCTTCAGTTGAACAATGTCAAGATAAACATGTACTCATTTTTAATGAATAAACAGTTATTCAAAAATAAAGTTATTTTATGAACATGGGTGAGTGAGTGAGTGAGTGAGTGAGTGAGTGAGTGAGTGAGTGAGTGAGTGAGTGAGTGAGTGAGGTTTAATGACGCTTTTAACAGTATTCCAGTTACGTCACGTTGTGTCAGTTTAATGGAGGAGGAAATCCCAAAGTGATGCAGGTCTCAGATGTTTACTACTTAGGTGAAACCCACGAGCATGTTGCTGACCAACCTAGAAACGTAACAGGGGCAAACCAGGATTCGAACCCACAATCATATTTTCCTGGCAAGGTCAAGGGACGCAACTTTTCACAGCTGTTTGCATCACTCCTTTTATTGATATGATTAATGTCTGAACATCAACTTCATATCTGCACGTTCCGCTTACACTTATGTACACTAAGCACACAAAACCCTTTATCATACCTCCTAAACTTTATCCTAAACTTTATCATAAATTTCAAAGCAGGAGAATAAATCCCTAAAACCCTGCCACAAAGAACACAGGCTGCACGTAGATTACTGAGAGGCAGAATAAATCTCTCAAACCCCTTTTTTGAAGCAAAAAACTGCAGCTTTTTCTGAGTCAAAGACACTTCAACTGGCACAGCCAGAGCTACAGATAAGCTGCGTATTTGCGTAAAATACCCCCCCAAAATATTCAAAACCCAACTACGCCAAATTAATTTGAGTACAGAAACATATTCATTCAATGAAAAACTCAAATGTATAAAAACAACACGTGTAAATACCCAATGAACTTTTTCAGCATGCGTAAATCGGAGCTAATTTATGAAACACAATTACCAGCAAATTTACTTTCCGAGTTAAAGCTATATTTAGAACCGTTATATATACTATGCTGCAGAGTACGCTACGCGAAAGAGTGTCGTCTCATTTTGATGATTGCAAATATGATGCTGTCACAAGCACAGAAAAATATGCTGTTTGCTTACATGACAGGAAATGTAGCCAAATGTGAAACCCATCAAAATGTGGAATTTATTTTGGATGAAGATATTTCAGGGAAAGTGAGTGAGTGAGTATGGTTTTATGCCGTTTTTAGCAATATTCCAGCAATATCACAGCGGGGGACACCAGAAATGGGCTTCACACATTGTACCCATGTCGGGAATCGAACCCGGGGCTTAGGCGTGACGCGCGAACGCTTTACCCACTAGACTACCCGACCGCCCTTTCAGGGAAAGAAAAACAACAACACATTGGCGTCAGTAAAGGAACAATCACAGGATGTAAAACAAAGTTTCTGGGGCTTATTTTTGAAAATAAGGGTGAAACACTTTTTTTGCAGCTGCAGATGGTGTCGCATTTATGAAACGAGATAGAAGTTAAAGAATGTGCAGGCTTACGATGGAACCAGTAAGTCCAGTATTACTAGACACAACAAAATGACTTTTGTTTTATTATTTTATTTTCAACTTAAGATATTTATTTTAGATTAGATTTATCTTATTGGTTACCCAATGAAAAATGTAATAACCCAATTAAAATAGAAACCTTCGAGTAAAAACTCAATTGCTCAAAAAGTTATCTGGAGCTCTGCACAGCACAAGTTAACCTCAGCTCACTTGAACAACTGTTTTCTGTCAATATTGAATTTGTTTTAATTTTTTTACAAAACAGATTAAAACATGTTGGTAAGATAAATTTGTTGTTGCAGTATTACTTGGGGTACATGGGGTATTATGAGGCCGGCCTGTGGGATAAAATCTAACACGGGACGCATACAAGCACATGTACCCCTTGTGATACTGCTACAAGTAATATTATCATGTTTATATACACGTGTCATGTACATGATGTAATGTTTGCTTTAATGCAACCTTTAGGCATTGTTAGGAAAGATACTTTATCTAGCTAGGAGTAAGATGATTAGCATGATTAGTCCTTTGAATTTCAAGGTTTCAAATCCCATTTAACATGTTTTATGTTTAACAGAAAATTGAAAACCACAAAAACATTGATAACCATGGTAAAGAAGCAGGTCATGCAGTTTGTAGAATGCTCTTACTAGCAAGTTCCCCTTACTTTGATCACTTCATGCCAAAACACAACAACAGACATGCTAAACTGTTATCATGGTTTTATCATGTATATCACGATTATCCCCGTCCTTTGTACCTGATCCTCATAGTTTCAGATGTATAAGTGAGTGAGTATGGTTTTACACTGCTTTTAGCAATATTCCAGCAATATCACGGTGGGGGACACCAGAAATGGGCTTCACACATTGTACCCATGTTGGGAATCGAACCCGGGGTCTTTGGCGAGACGAGCTAATGCTTTAACCAGTGGGCTACCCAACTGCCCCTTCAGATGTATCAAGAGCATCTCAAATCTGCCATGGCCATACAAATGAATGCAGTAACCTATCAGTGTGAATGTTGCATCATGCAAACAGTCAGCATTTAAATAATGAAGTCTGGACCAGGCACACCAATGACCACGCTATAAATGAAAGCATGTCAGAGCAACTAGCTACACAATGAGGGTACAATGACACACAAGCAGCAAAGACACCAAACAAAACCACTTGATCCCCATTCTTTGTTGGTTCTTTAACGTAATATTCCAGCTATATGACGGCGGTCTGTAAATAATCGAGTCTGGACCAGACCATCCCGTGATTGATCTCATGAGGATCGATCTATGCAGTTGGGATACGATGACATGCATCAACCAAGTCAGCGAGCCTGACCACCTGATCCCGTTAGTCGCCTCTTATGACAAGCATAGTGGCCTCTTATGGCAAGCATAGCTTGCTGAAGACCTATTCTTCCCTGGATCTTCAAAGGTTTGATACCCATTCTAGCCAGTCTAGGGGCACTTAGTTTGAAATCCTGGATAAATCCCTGAACTGGTGACTAATTCTGACGTGGACTTCCCACAGGATGTGGGACAAGCTACTATTACCAGCCACATGGTTCAGTGTACTCACCAGGTGTCAACTGCAGGCAGGCTGTATGCGAGTCTGTGCTTGCTTCACACTGTCTTTGGCTATCTGTCATTCCCTGTATCACTGAGTAAGATGAGAAGAATGATGCAAGTGACTTGTGGACTGACACATGTTCCTTCTTTGTTTGATCATGTTTTGGGCTCTCTTTCTTCTGTGATTCAGTTTCTCCAGATTGTGTATCTTCTGCTGAAACTCTTATTTGCCTCGACTTTACCATAGCTTTTGAATTTCCATAGGTAGAACCTAGGTTTATAAGGCTATCCACGGTTAGTGCTATACCTTTGACATGGCTTAAGCTTTTTGTGATGATTTCAATACTGTTGCTATCTGCTTGGTACTGGTGACAGCCAGGCTTTTTATACTGCAACACAAGTACATCATGTAGATATCTATACACTCAATGAACAATTGAAGAATTTAAAATGAGAACATTGAACAATAGAATAGGATCTTTTTATTGAAAATGTAGTATAAGAATTATCGCCCAGTATACAAATATGAAACAGGTTTTCCCCCTGATATATAGTATATATATATTCTAAACAAAAGCAGATAAGTTTTCTGCCAAATTCTGGTTTATAACTCTTAAACATATTACTTTGCAAGATTCTTCAATGTGCAGTTGACATTAGGGCGGGCTAAAAAGATTGATAATTTGAATTATCATTGATGGGAAGAAATATTAATGATAATCAATATGAAATTGTTGTCATCAATTATAACTTACATAAACTATTGTGATGAAATAAAGTTTAGATTAACCGAAACAAGACTTGTTATCGTCAAAAATGTCAATTGTCGAAGACGGAAAGAAACTGATTTTGTTTTATCTCAAATGTCCACAAAGTAATCTATGCATAAATGTGTCACTACTCACCAGTGGCGTAAAAAATGTTGATTTATTTCAGGACTTTCTTGCATATTTGCTTGATGTTACATCTCTCATATTTAGTTAGCGATTATAGATCTCTAAAAACTATATCAATAGCCAGCCCTAGTTGCCATAGTTCACATGCATGAAAGCCTTGAGAATGCACAAGTTGTATGACCAATGCAAATGAGCATTGTTCTCTAACAATGTGACGTTATGTGAAGTATGAAGGATCTTCATTAGTGAGTAAGTGACCAATAAAGTTTTGATTAGACATTTTGGACAATACATGGTATATATAGCTACGGATTCACAGATACTTGTAATCATGGTAATGTCTATGTAGCATTCATATGATGAACGTGATGAATATACTTCATAAGAAGACTCAAATCATATAATGCTGGTATATATAAGATTTGTGTAAATTCATAAATTCAAAGTTTCTGTGAACACAGTTCATGTTCCTAGCTATTATCGTCGCATCAAAGGTTTTCGGACGTCATATGTTTTCAGACGGCCATGCTTATCGCGATTACTCACGCTGCAACGGGGGTCGTAGCCCAGACATTGTAAATACTCAGATGATGGCTTGTTTTCAAGAGAAAGTAGTCTTTTAAAAGTAAAGGAGATGTTTTACAGTTGTTCATGTGATTGAGGGGAAATTACGAATGTTTCTTCAGTGCTTGAAAACAAACAACACAGGGATATAGTAAGAATGTATACACATGGAACTTACAGTTACACATGGTTTGTTCAATGATGAAATGTCAATCCAGTACAGCGATAACTTGGCATGATGACAGAACTGATCAAACAGATGTGGTGGCATTATGGCATCAAGAAAAATATCTGAATCTAAAACACGTTTGCCAGCATACATCCGCATTTGTTGTGCATTTGTTGGTATATCTGAAAACAAAAAAATGATGTTCTGATTTTTAGATTGTTGTTGAGTTTGTTTAGAATACCGTCTTCCCTTCATTGGCGATGCTGTATCTGGCATCTGCCACTGAATGTCTGTCACTATTTCTGTCAAGGCCTTCTGTAGACATTCTGCTGCAGTTATTTTTGTCTTGGTCCCTACTTTTTCAGCGACTGTCTCTTGAATCGTTTCTTTCAGTTTAGCTTCAAATTGTTCGAAGTATCTCAGTTTAAAGTCCCTTAGATTAACTTGTTTCGCAGATGACTTGTAAGATCGTGAATTAAAAAACTTGAAACTCCATTTCAATCCGGTTTCTTTATTGGGTTTCTGTTTTGCGTCGGACTTCGATTCCTGGAACGACAGCAGACTACACAAAATACGAAATGATGTCAGGACAAGTGCTCGAAACTTTTGTAAACTTTCATTGTCACTCAAACCTTCAGGTCGAAATGTATCGATCAACAATATTGTCTGAACGACTGCCTGTTTGCTATCCATCTCCGATGTTATAATTAGCCCATCATGTCCAAATAGATAAACTTAGCAAATATACACAATATTTACTATACACTTTGTTTACGAGCACTTGCCGCCGCCATTTTGAAAATTACCCCCATAATGCATCGGAATTTTAAAATCCGGCCAACATGTTTTCATACCGGGACGAACCATTTTCGCCACAGAAAGTATCAATTATGGCGTGGATTTACAATTATGATCCTTCGACTGATTTAAACTTTGTATTCCGTTTGGAATACTTTAATCCACGAAGAACAATGTCGAATGATCAGCTGGTGATTTCCTGGATGCAGTATATATCACAGGCCCTTTCGAAGGTACATTAAGAAATATTTAGCAACGACACAGGGTCCCGTGGCGTGAACGCATCTTTTCGAATGCGGTAAAAAAATAGGGATACGCTGAATTGTGTGTTCTATTTACTTTGAACGCAAGGAAATAAAAGATTCATATGGGCTCCCAGCTGTGAGATTCTGCCCGAAGCCGAAGCAGGACACTCCCCAAAACGGCCAGATTACAGATAGCGGAATGTTGTGATTTTGTACCCAAACCAGTTTGGCATTTTGTACCCTATTTATTTGCATTAGTTTCTAAAAATATATATTAATTTTAGCATCCGAAAGTTACTTTAGTCTCAGAGTCTGGTTTGACTAAAGTAAATATGAGAGTGAGTTAATTAATTACATACTTGCGAATTAACTAGTTTTATAACTGTTTATTCGGCTTAAATAACCTTTGAATACACAATGCCATTTAGAAAGTTTTCATATGTAACAAATGTTATATTTGGGATAACACTTTCTTAGTAAAGTACAGATTCTCGTATTTTGGGTGGTGGTAATATTTCCACCGCGGTGGAAATAGTTTATCACATATTTGTATGACAAATCGGGTTATTTTTTGTGTGTGCAAAAGGTTACGATAACATTAAGTGAAATATCAAAATATTGAAAAACAGACTCCATGTCCCTTATGGGCCACCGTACCTTACGGGTGGTTTTCACACACTTCCAGTGAATACAAGTCTGTCTATCTACATTCTTGGTGTGACATATCCATTAAACAAAACTTGTGTACTTCCTGTCTGTGAAAAAATAAACTCAGCATTCTGGAGACCGGCCATGTTGATATGCAGTCATTCTTTCACAACGCTTATACACCACAGCAAACATACTCTAAATACATTTGGTTGAAATGGGTTTATTTAAATACTTTAGGTACATTCATGCACCAACCTTTACTCGATTTTAAACCCATTCTGTATTTCCCGGAACAGTGTTAAAAGATGCAAACCTGATTGTTCACCAATTCAGGTTTCTTTATAAATATGATATGCTCAAACAAACCAATCTTAAGTAAATTAATATAATCTTTTACTCAGTTTCAGTCAATCTTTCCAAATGTTAATCCAGCTTATCTTTACTTGGTTCATCCTTTACTCTCATTGATTAATTAGTGAAATAAATTGTTTGTCTTAAGATGTCATATACATATAAAAACAAACAAGACATAAAAATAATGCCAACTTCAAGCCTTCTTAGGCCTATAAGACATGAACATTAAAATACAAATCATAAGACATGAAAAAAATTAATGATAATAATAATATACACAACACAATACATACTAAAAAGACATACACACACACGCACGCACACACACACACTCACACAAACACAGAGACACGCCAACTTACACCCGCACGCACAAAAAGCATACACATGCACATACCAAATGCACAAACAGGTGTGCGTTATAAAATGCACGCGTGCGCTCACGTGTTATCTTACATATCATTATACAAGCTCATGCACGCATTTACATACAACTTCCTGCGGGCATACCTTTTTACACACATTTTGCCAAGGGTAGGAATGAGGCTGTCATCTTGAAGCAGACTTGGTAGGTCGCACTGGTCACGGAGTTCTGGGAAGAGGCTTGGCAAAAATTGGTTTCTGATGTCATCATAAAAATGACAGTATAGGAGGACATGAGAGTCGTGACAGAGTTTACAGTATCGTTTAGGGGTCGGTGGGTTAGCGTATCTTAATTGCATTTTCTATTTCTAGTCTCAAAGATCCACATCGGAGCGACGCAAGGATAGATCTTTGGTTTGCAGGGTAGCTGTAGGTAACTTTCTGTAAATAGTTCCGATTTAAACTGGCGGCAGGTTCTCAGTTTAGGTATCACATGTACTCCCGAGGCCCAATTAGTTTTATCTAAGGAAAATAGTTGTACCCTAAGTTCAAGTAGAATTGCAGTAACGGATTTTTCTGTGTCGTTAATTACATTAGATAAATCATTGTCGTTAAATATTCGCTGTATCTTCTTTTCCCACGATTTTCCACAGGAGAGTGACCATTGGTGCACTTTAAACAACAGACGGTGACGAGAAGTGCGCTGAAGCCGACACCACAGTCGCGCCGTTTCTATGTGTAGTCGTCATTGGGGGTCCAGCAAGCCCATATCTCCCCTGGCTTCCAGGTTTGCTGTGTTACGGGGCACTCCAAGAAACAGACGTCATGCTTTATTCTGTATGGCGAACACTTCCCTGAATTTCCAAACTCCCCATAGACCAGAACAATAGAACAACATCGACTGGACGGTAGAATCATATATTCTTTTAATCACGTCATGATGCGTGTCACCTAATACATAAAACGTTTGACTTAAAAGACCAAGAGCCCTAGAGGCCGCCTTCACCAGTTCTTTCACAGAGAATCCCATGTCGCAGTGTTCTTGAAGCCATAGGCCGAGGTATCTATACTTGTCGCTGTAGCATAAGCGTGGTTGCCGTAGTAGAAGTCAGACGTATGGCGGATGTTCAAGATAGGATGTAGTTCAGATAAGTTGTCCCGAGATAAGTTGACTCCTTATACCACCCAGAAAGGCATCATCAAAGTCTCCTGAAGAATCAGAGTTACTGCACTGCTGTGTGTAGTCATTCTGCCACCGTTTAAGAACATCGTCCCGCCGTTCCCTACTAACTGACCCGTCTTCAAGCAGGGTTTCCATCGGAATAAATGTCTTCCTATTGTTACCCATTCCCACTTTACAAATTTCTTTCCAGAAGTCTTTCCCGCTCTCTTCAAGCAGCTCGGTCATTCTGTCTTTTCTTTCTTGCTGATATTTTTTAGCTCTTTTCAGGCTTCTGTCGAAGGTTCTGCGAGCTGTGCAGAATTCACTTTTCAAGGTTGATTTAACAGAAGTAGGACCTTTAAACATTAACCAAGCTCTTTCCTTACAGCAAACTGAATCAAACAATACCTGCAGGGATTCATTCCAGAATGACTTTGCCTTGCATCGCCTTGCTTTCCGACCATATGGACCTGGGTACACAACCCTACTTGGAAGTTTATCATCCATTTCCGCCACTAGGAGCTCTGTACACGCCGTATATGCGGCATCAACATCATCGTTGTGGAGGGCATTTTCCATCATGTCGATTGCGTTGGAGACTTTATTGAAGGTACTGGCATCACTGAAGAAGTCGTCTGGTATGGATCTCGTATCATGCCGAGTCTCAATGGTTACGTCGTTATGGATCTGAACTGCATCAACTTACTACTGGCTTGGATATTGATACTAAAGAGGAGAGGAGATGGACTTTAAAGTCAGAGCAGAACATCAGTTGCCCATAAGGAATAATTACATAGTCCACAACATAGTCATTGGGACTGTTCCATTATAAGTAGGTGAAATCCCTTTGTTATTTTAACCAAGTGTAGGGGTACTGGGCTGTAGGTGTTTTGTCTTGTAGGCGTTTTGGGAGATAACCGACATGCACATTCTAGAATTATTACGCAGGGGGTCACGTGTGCAACACTGTCTCTAAAGAGATATTTGGCAGTGTCTCATACCACGGACCTATGTCTAAGTCCGTGCTCATACACACCATGTATCCAAAAACTCCCAGGCAAGACGACAATGCTTTGGCAAGTCTACATTTCTCCAGTTTCAGGCAAATGAAAATATACTCCAGGTTTCATGCTGTTTTTAAATACACAAAAATTAAACAAAACGAAATCTTTAAAAAAATCATTTCAGAGACGGAATCTTAGTTAATATTGTATGTCAGATCACAAAACCGCGGTAGCAGGAAATGAACTTGTTCTGCGGGACTCCGATCGTTCATGATTATCCAATGTATTATATTTCCATTCTATTATAATAGATAATAGAATACTGGATAACAGCTCGATACTCATCTAAATGGTGTATATACAATATTTCGGGTTTCATGTTATTCGTTTGTTTTTTACGTTGTTGTTGCACAAAGCATTATTACAGATAATATAATACTGGATAACAGCTGGTTATTTGTACATAGTGTATAGACAATATTTCGGGTTTCCTGTTATTCTTTTGTTTCTCTCGTTGTTGGACGAAGCAATTAAAAGCGCCCACACAGAAGCAAGATTCATACCGTTTGCACATCGGTTTTTTTATTCATACCTCAATGAACCGTAAAAAATAGACAGTCAATCCTGAAATGCACACGATCAACCATGTCACTTTGTCTCAGAGTCTGACCACCACATCCACTCTGGGGACCAATTCTAACCAGGAATCCCTACGGGGCTTTACATATACTGCATTGTTGTTTACTTCATTAGGCACGCCGAATTCATTCATTCAGATAACAGTGACCGAGTTATTAAAAGCAGTAACAATGTTGCGGAGAACATTAAAGTTTATTTTTCGGTTTAGAATGCGTTGAACCGTGAGTTGTCGAGCTTTGTACAACGCCGCTCAGGAACACACCAAAACGTGCGTCTCATTATAATATCATTTGACTCTACAGTTCAACGTATGTCTTTCAGTCAGGCTGACTTAATGGAAGCTATTTCTTTTCAACTGTTTATAAAAGGGGCGCTCACGGGATGAAAAGACGACATACCCGATGCCCGTCATCACTCAACCGTTGGATGGTGCAGGCCCCCAGGAATTTTCTGATGTTTTGTGCAAATATTTCAGTATCTACCGCATGCTTTGTGACCATTCTTGGTTTATTCGAGTGTGAAATTATAGTTCCACCAGAAGCTCTCGCAACGTTCACTGACATCAGAACTACCCGGGCGTGTATGAGATCATAATTCACTGGACAAAATTGTACTGTTACAAACCTGAACCAAACAGTCCGTTTGTGTCAATGTAACAACTTCCACACAAGTCTGTTGCCCCAAATAAATGATCGGGACTATCGCTAACGGAGAGTTTACATAATTAGTGGCCACTCCATCTTACATAGACTCCTTGTCTACTTGTCCCTAGAGGATAAAATAAAATTGTATCAGACTCGAGTCTAGAATGATTTGGCAAATCTAGATTGCCTTAGCTCCAGAAATTAAAAATTGTTCTGGGCTCCATTTGGATTTTACTTTTTATTTTGTAGATAATGTATAGTAAAATATAATAACTTGATTTCCGGAACTAAATGTCAGTCTAATGGACTCCGTGTCCATGCAGGTTCAGTCATGACAACTGTTGAACAGAATCTCGTGTTTCACTAAGTACTTATAACCCTGTGATAGGTGTAAGTACAATATCACGGGGCGGTAATAACCAGACCCGTATTACACGTGAATTTACACCCCTGGCTGATATGGCTTGTCAATGCATTTTGGATTGGGCGATCGATGTAAGGGTGGTAAGAAATTGGAGTTACGTCCCTTAGTGCGTCGTCTGCTCATCTAGCTTTCCCGTGACAATGTCTTCGAAACAAGGTGAACATGGGTTGCATTTACTGGCAAATATATATATTTACAACTTGACGTTGTGGTATATGATAAAAAGGTTATTATATGGCAGTTTACATGTCCTACCCCATATCAACCCTCGACCCCCGTATCAGCCCTAATGGGTTATTAATATTGGATATGATATATGAAAACTGCAACTGCAAGTATAGAACAGACTTGCATGTGCTTCTGCTGCCCGATACATCCAAATCTTTCCTCTATACGTGCATGCATGCATGTTTTTCACACAGCCAGACTGAATTAATTCTTTGCTGGTATTGCCATCATTAATGGCCACAGGCTAATGAATCACAATTCCATATATATATATAGGTGTTTTCAAGTTCAATTGATCCGAGACATTGAGACATAAGGCAAGACAATTCCTCTCCTGACAGCACTTGGGGTAGTCCACCCAAACTGGTGTATAGGGGTGTTTGGATACCCCCATGAATGCCAGCATACCTTCAGGATTACTCTGACCAGAAAGGGGCCAGGCATGGGATACAAATTTCTTACTGCTGGCAAACCGTGAAGATCTATAAATTGAAATAAGATACATTCGTATTCAGGGATGGTTTCATAAAAATATCATTCAGAGGTAAAGCATTATTGAAATGTCTGTGGGAACAAAAAATCAATGAAATGACGAATGAATTGGAAATGTTTCAACTATGGAAACAAATTATTATGATGTTAAAATGGTGGGGAAAAAGAGATAAGCGATTTATTTATTGGGACATAGACTTACAGTTAACAAATTTATATATCTTTCCTGGAAACTATTCAACAACAAAAATTGGTGTCCTTTCTTCTACTGCCATCCTATTTTACAATATTTGAATAATAAACTAAGCCAACTGTATTGCCAAATCCTTTCTAGATAACAAAAACCTAAAGCAAAAAGCTGTTTTCAGTGTTGGTGGTTATTTAGGAAGTATATCAGAAGCCCAGGTCTGAGATAAACATCAACACATGACAGTCAGTGGATGACGTAACCTCTCATCTCATCACCAGTGTAAGATATATGTGCAAGCATCGCCCCTGCACTAAATGGGCAACTCCTTGCTGCCCCCAACTGACTTGTCCTCATTGCGATTTAAACCTATGGGTTCGTGATTCGCCCCTTTAAGAACGGCTATTGAATCGAATCAAGGTGTATTGAATGAATACCTAAATCACTCAGTATTGACAGTTCTGAGGAGAAAAGCAGTTAGGTTATTGTACACATAAGATAAACTTGAAGTTTACTGACCCCAATCTTAGCAAGTTTGATCTCACTTGATCTGACAATCACTGTACTTCAATGGTTAAGCCTGATATCAAAGTGTCGCGCGGAGTGAAGGGCATAGCTAATCTTTACTTTACTTCTGACTGCTTTGTCTACAATAAGTCTTCTGCTTGAGGTTTTATGTACACCCTGGTTTAAATTAGTTCTTAAGGGAAATCAATTTTGTAAAAAACACCAATAGAATTTTCATAATATATAATTACTGATTTGAATGAATCAAAATAACTGCACAATTAGCCTATGTAAGAGGGATGAAAACTTGTTTCCACTGGAAATATTTAGGTTAAAATAAGGGAATGTTAAAACCCAAACTGTCTTTCTTTTCCTTTTGTCTTCAGCTGATGTGTATATTCCTGTAGAGAATAAGCCTGACTCCATACATTGAGTATGTCCCTGTGTATCCCTGCAGAGAATATGTTCCTGTGTTTCCCTGCAGAGAATATGTTACTGTGTTTCCCTGCAGAGAATATGTCTCTGTGTATCCCTGCAGAGAATATGTCCCTGTGTATCCCTGCAGAGAATATGTCCCTGTATATCCCAGCAGAGAATATGTCCCTGTATATCCCTGCAGAGAATATGTCCCTGTATATCCCAGCAAAGATTTATGTCCCTGTATATCCCTGCAGAGAATATGTCCCTGTGTATCCCTGCAGAGAATATGTCCCTGTATATCCCAGCAGAGAATATGTCCCTGTATATCCCTGCAGAGAATATGTCCCTGTGTATCCCTGCAGAGAATATGTCCCTGTATATCCCAGCAGAGAATATGTCCCTGTATATCCCTGCAGAGAATATGTCCCTGTGTATCCCTGCAGAGAATATGTCCCTGTATATCCCTGCAGAGAATATGTTCCTGTGTATCCCTGCAGAGAATATGTCCCTGTATATCCCTGCAGAGAATATGTCCCTGTATATTCCTGCAGAGAATATGTTCCTGTGTATCCCTGCAGAGAATATGTTCAAGAACCCATGCTTGTCGTATAGAAGGGACTGGGTGGTCAGGTATGCTGACTTTGTTATCCCAATTGCATGCTCATGATGTCAATCACTGGATTGTCTGATTTGATTATTTACAGACTGCCTGGAATATTGCTAAATGCAGCGTTATACCACAATTGTAATTTATACATCAAACAGACAACCTAAATTTTCCTATCAACAAAATGCAAACATTTTATTACCAAACTGATGCATATCATTACAGATGATAAGTGGTAGGTGTAACCGAGTCTAACCTAACAACAATACAACCATTGCCTCAGCAATAAACCATTTTTTCCAGGATCAACAATCTATAACAGACATACATATATATATGCATCTCACATGGATGAAGGAATCATTCCTTTATGCTTGTACATTGTAAGGAAATGGTACGTTGTAGAGGCACTAATGTGGACACAGAATTTGAATATGATCCTAGAATCACATCCATGGTGTGACAAATATTCATGCTGACTATGTCACTAGTACATAATATCCGTCCAAGTGATACACTGATAGACTTATTTTGTGAAATGAGGCATCCTTAATTAACCAGAACCATATATGAGGGTGAGCTATGAAACAGTGAGTTAAGTTATGTTGTCACAAGATTTGAGCACAGAGTGACAAGAGCCATGAACTGACAGCTTCATTATTCTTACTTTGTACTTAATTTTAACTTTTTCACAATATGGCCTTATATATATATATATCTTTCTTTTCAGTTGGTTTATGAGACCAACCGAAAAAAATTAATCAACTGAAAAAATAAATTGACTAACCATAAAAAAAACCAAAACAAATTATCTTTCAGTATCGTTTTGAAATCGTACTTCAGTAATGGTGTGACCTATGAGTTTGTTTTTCATCCATTAGAAGAAGTACTAATCTGGAAATAGTAAATTATTCATTTTTTTCTCAACCACCTACATTGCATTTTTGGCCACTTTTCTTCATAAACTATCAAATAAAAAAAAAGAAGGCCAAGTGTAACTTTGACTAGTCATCCCCTGCTGGTATACAATGATATTTATCATGATGAATGTTTCATCATTTTGGGCAGACACGAGTGATGGATGGTAAATCAAAATATCAACAACGACATGATACAAGCATTATCGCACAGCCAACAACGATTGCAGCCTGGGACAAACGATTCTGCACTTAGCTCTCTCATTCAGCATGTGACTCCATGTCACAATATTACATAGACTTGCATCACTCTTGTTATTAAAAATACACAATCTTCTTGTGTACAAATTCTTTCAAAACCACATATTATTTACAAATATTTTTGAAAAATTTCAATCACTGACCTTGCCTTTCTTGTACATGATTCACAAAGACACCCTCATTGTGCCCCATCGGAGGCAATGGTTAAATTATGCAAATGATAAACCTAAAGATGTACATGGACTAGGGTCTGTTTCATATAACAGGATTAAACACTAAATGACAACATATAATTCTAGTAAGTGAAAGTGAAATATTTAATGATCAATAGCATACAATTAGTACTGAATCAATGAAAGTCAACAAATGTAAACCTTGGCTAGCAATGGACATCTGTGACACCAGAAGACTGTTGAGACACTGCCATTATTCTTTCATAATGCTGAGTTCACAGCTAATTTTTCCACAGATCCAAGATAGACAGCACAACAACAGGACACGCATACAACTACATGTATACAGAGAAGGCATGGAGAATGGATGGAGGTACTGATGGATGATATCTTATATATCTAAGAAATATAACGACACTTGAGATACAATGTATATATATATATACCACAGTAACTTCGAAGGTTGCAGATATAACAAATCATAAATAACATACAAAACACATATATTGGAAAGGTGATGTAAAAACATTGGAATGTAAGAAAATATATATTTGGTCACAAGTTTCAGTGCATACCATGCAAGAGTATGAGCTGAAACGCCCACAAGATAAATGCAAACTGGCCATGCATACCTTGCTATTCAACAGTATAACACAAAACTTCAATAGGCACATCTGTAAGAAGATACATAATGTTCACCATCATTTCCAATTTCCCATTTAATGAGCTCAGAAAAGTCGTTCTTGTTTCCATGCCTTAATACATAATTAGGTGTAAAAAAATGATCATAGGTTCCTGGTATGCCTAAGGGATGCAACTCTTTACAGTGAATTGTAGTGCCTTAAACAATGATATAATTTGTTCAGAATATATCAGCAAAAATCTTAGTTCATCTTGAATACAATCCATGTTACCAAAATGAAATTCGACAATGCACTATTAAATATAAAGATGAAAAAACCTCCTAAGACAAGTTATGGTTTACTTGTGGTCGGTATTATGCAATATTGCTATTCTTGAAGCCATGACACAAAAATGACAGTTGTATAAAGGGCAGTATGTATTATATTTGTGCCATACAGTACATTGAAACAAAGCCATGAAACCATCATCTTTCCTGTGGCAATTCCTAATCTTATTTCATAATCATAATAGTGCACATATCCATATGAAACACCCTTCTATTCTTTCCCTGTTTCGTACCTACATATTACTTAATATCCAATAGTTTGGTCAATTAATGCTGACTTTTATTATGCTTATTACAACAAATTGCCACATCAACATTACAAATACCACATGGCATTATTGCTTCACAGATGCTCTTCTAGTCCAATTGTGGGCAAAATTCAAGACCAACATCCAAATGCATACAACAGAACAAACAGAATCCAAAGAATAAGATTGGAAAGATTTTCAGCATTTTACAAAAGCAAGATGTAACAGAATCTGCACATATAAGCAAGTATTAAACATATACTAAGAAGGGAATCAAGAATACATAACAATATATATTTCATTAAAACACATTTTGAGAAATACATAAAATATGTATAAGAATTATATTAATTATTTTTTTCTTTATTTGAAATCAAAATCTCTTCCCGAAGAGAATGAATATAGTTCAACACCGCAGTCAGCAATAGTCACGTTACATCGCTGAAACTACATCACTCTCAGTAAACAATTAAGTCTGGACCAGGCACGCCTCTCTTGGGGTAATGGGTAAACTGATCCTTCACATGATTCACATGAAAAGTAGTAGTAGTAGAATTACATGTGATTTGTATCAGGTCAAGTAGCTATTGTTGCACCATGCTAGCCTGTACTAGCACCATTTCAAGTCTTTGACTGCCTTAAAAACTTTAATAGAATGTTCCATACCTCGATGCAGCTGCTCAATATAGGTTCCCCTACTGCTTGCTACTATAAAAACTAACATTCTCTCTGGTAGGCCTATTATTCTGACATACATTCCATATAGAGTTTTCAAAACAAAACAAAACCCATTGTTTTCTGTTTTTTTTATGTATCCAGTATGAATCTCACCTAAATATGGCCAAATTAAAAACAAAACTAAACTGTTTGATTGAAAATATGTTCTTTACATATTTTTGTTTGTTTTAAGAAAAAATTATTATTATTTTTTAAAGTGAGTGAGTGAGTTGGGTTTTATGCCGACTTGAACAGTATTCCAGTCATATCATTGCATGTCTGTTTAATGTGGGTGGAAAGCTCTAAGTGCTAGTTTGGTGAAAACCATGAGCACAGGTATCATGCTGACAAACCTAGAAACATAATCAGGGTGATGTTTTTAAAAAGGAAATTAAAACAAATAAAATTGTTGTTGTCTAATTTGGCTTCCGACATATTGACCAAAGGAATCCATATGGCATAAAAGAAGAAGATACATTGGTCTGGACAAAGAAAGAGAACAAACTAGCGTACTAGGCAGTGCTTGTTTCAGGGTGTACAATACATTCAGCATGCAATGCTGTGGAATCACACAGTCCCTGAGAACACATCTTGATACAACATGATACCATACCCACAAACCTAAAACCATGATATCCCCAACAATATCATGCATACATATTACTAAGGAACCTCAATCTGATTTCAAGTGTCGGCGCAGGATGCCGTCTTCAGATTAAATGATCCTATACAGCCATTCAAAATACAGATTTGTTAAACACTTTCATTTACATGTACAAGGTACACGGTGCGATGGTAAATCTGTCAAGTCCATTACACTTCAAAGCTATCTTGCCAACTGTTATACAATTCCACCTGTTCACTATTTTGTTGCAAATTTTTGTTTGTTTGTTTATTGTTTAACACCACACTCAGCAATATTACAGCTATATGATGGCGGTCTATAAATAGTTGAGTCTGGACCAGATAATCCAGAGATTGAAATTATGAGCATGGATCCACGCAATTGGGATATGATGGTGTTGCAATTAGATGTCTTGAATGTGTAATGATCTTATATAATGTGTCTACATATTAATCATTAGTAGTGCAGTAGGGCTGGGACGGGTAACTCGGGTACTTGGGTCGGGTGCTCGGGTCGGGTCGGTCCTGAGTAGGACCTGGTTACCCAAAGGACTACCCGGATCCGTAGTCAGTCATGAGATATATTTTTTAATAACAAAAATTATCTAAAACTCTATGGTTACACTACAAGTCACTAATGTTCCCATTTCTTTCTGACAATGCACTCATTCCTTGTGACTTTTATATGTTTGAATAAAGATAAAACTTCATGCAGTAAACTTCAGTGTATGCATGACCAGATCGTTTTACATGTGTATCTAAATACATTTTACATTAGGGTCGGGTAATAGGGTGATGGGTACCCGGGTAGTAAATTTGGACTCGTCCCAGCCCTAATATGCAGCCAGCTAATCAATTCAACGCAGTTAGATACACAGGAAATGCAACAGAGAAAAGAAGAATTGATGAAGTATTGTCTTTGACAGACTTTTCACGCATACTGTGCACCAGATGCCCTCTTATATAATCATATATATATTTCATTTCAATAACAGTGAAAGCAACAGAGCATAAACTTTATAATATGAGAACACTAAAATGGAATGACAATTCTGAAAAAAACCCTGCCCATCACTGTTGATCCACTGTTAGACTGGTATTTCAAATCCAATCATAATATTTGAAACAAATCTCAACATTATGGAATGGCGAAGTCACAAGGATCTGCTTCAGAAGATCTACTTCCGGAATCACCATTCTAGTGACTTCTCTGACTTAATCCATGTTATGATAGATATATGTTTCTTTATAAAAACAATTACCAACAGTTGCATCAGTTTTACTTACACAAAATGCACATTCAGAATGGCCAGTGAATACCTGCCTTAGAATCAACTGCATCAACAATAGCGTGACATCATAATTGTTTGATACTGGATTTCTTTACACAATTAACATTGTCTGACATTTGGCTGTAGCAATTTGATGATGAATTCATTTTGGCTGACAAATAGCTCAGAAAAGTAAATATTTCACCAGGATGAATGTGAAGGTCCCTTGAGCCAACATACAGAATTCCCAGGAATTTGACAGTTTCACTTATAAAATATACATACTGGATGCAATACATGCACATCCTTAAAAAGGCATATGGGGTGAATAAAAGGTTGAGATTATTTTTGTTTCATCCTGTGGGACCATCATAACAAAGACATACCATATATTGCTGTGTATAAGCCAAGTTTTTTGTACCTAGAATTAAGGGGTTTTCAAGGGGACTGGGGGTTGTTTTATACACTGCATGCATTTCCAGAATGAACATGCCTAATGGGCCTGGGAGAGTTATCTCCCCTTTACTTCTGATTGAAAGAGTACCGGGGTATGTGATGAATACAGTCAACTCTGTACATAAGGGGACCTTTAATTCATTTTGGTATTTACAATATTCATCAACGGATCCATTTGTTTCTGATGAGTTCACTTTACAAGTGAGGCAGATTTGTTGTGGTGTGTAGGTTATACCTACAAAAGCCATGAATCAACATCTGACCCCTGGATACAGAGCTGAATGTATAAGGTCAGTTGGAGCCATGGTGAGAGTAAATACTCCCCAGTTGATGGTGCTGTCGTTGGATAACTGTAGGATATCCTGTTGGATACCTGTCGTAATACGAGTATTTGTACGGGATAAAGCGTTGTATGGATAGAACTTTTAACCAGGTCACCGTTCAACAAAAAGATGTTAGTGCTAAGGCAATCTGAACTCATATTCTTCAACAGATTGATGACAGTCATAGCACTAAGATCACAGGACCCAACCTGGCAAACAATACATCCTCTAAAACAATAGAAGGATCTTTGTGTAGCATTTAGAAGATAGTTTGGAGAAATCAACTTCTTTATTGCAACTGTAGTGACCATGTGGTTGTACAACTGATTAAACATGTCACATAAATACTACCTGCACATATTTGCTCACTGACTAGCTCAGTACATCCATTGCTTGGTAACAGTATTAGAACATACACCGAAATTACGCTACAATCATAATAAAGAAGTTGATCAGTCATTTAATCCTGTCATTTGTTAAATGCTACTCCACTTTAGTGCGGGATGTTTGTAAGACCATTACACAAAAATGATTCTCATGATACGTGTATATTAAAATATATCTGACGTAACTGATTATCCCAATCAAATGCTCAGTAGTATATAATGAGTACTACCTCATTTCTTAATTCAGTCAAAGTTAATCACATTCTATCAATAATAAGTTACTTCCAGTTTATTATCCTCTTAAGTTCAGACTAAAACCTTTCCCAATGAAACCTGTTTTTTCTGACAAGACTAATTTAACAGCTAGTTAAACACAAATATGATAAAAATGCTGCTTCAATTGAAAGAGTGTCCATTTTCAACATCTAATTGATGTCAAGACCATTTTTGAGTAAAATATAAAAACTACCACAAAGATAAACATGCATTTTCAAATGAAATTCAACTAATAATATAAAAACAGTCACCGAATATCAGTTTGGGATACAACACCTATGTATTTATTACAGATAAAATTGCACCTGGGGCAACTCTTCAGCAAACTATTACAATTTTGAAATTATCAGGCATTATGCCTGAACTATAATTGACCTATTACCGGTATGTAAATACCACTTTTGTCTTTCACCTTGCTCTCCCACATCGCAGCCAGGATCAACATTTACAGTTTTTATTATTGACACATACCTGACTGACAAGGCTGATTTGTAAGCGTTCTTCTGACCATCACATATCACTCATCTAACTCCTTTCCTCATGTTCACATCCTTTCTAGAGCTTAAAAGCAAACCCTTCAATATCAGGATCAACATCTTAATTCCCATTAATTATTTTCATTGTAATCCTCAATCATTCCCCTCTCCTTATTTTCCAATCACAAAATATTTCACTTTCTCATCAACCTCTTGCCTTCACTAATCTTTGTCTTAACACTACTTACATTCTTCTAATATACTACCTTAGTCAATAATTTCCCTTATTGACAGCATACAATAAATATACAGAAACGAGACTTCATAAACAGTAACTGTTAACAGCGGTGAATGGTAGCTGTTTCAACACTTTCTACAAAAATACTGTTTTGACTATACCATAACGATGTCTGTTGACTTCAATGAGCTGTTCAGAGCCTTCAACAACAGCTCCAAATGACACAAACTGAGCCTGATGACTTTGATCTGGAGGCCAGAACCTTCAACAAACATTGATCTGGGAGCCTCCAAGATAAAGGTCGTTTGTATCTGTTGCCTTCAATCTGATGTCGTTCAGAAAAATATACAGAAGGCATGTACTGTTTGTTGACTTTGTAGGTTAGGAGCCTTCAAGAAACATTGCAGATGCAACATGCTGATCAGTCATCTTCAGAATGATGGTGCCTGCACATCCATGTGAGACATTACGGGAAGTACAATGACATACTTCTTCATATTCTCGACATAGAAGAAGCTCTTGTACTGGGTACGATGGGGTGGTGACAAGTGAAAAACATCAAGTACAGAAACACCTGTCCTTTTAGCCATGTTTAACCACAAGATCACCAATTGATATGTTTCACATATTTTTGTAACAATGCCTGGAACTTCCCCAGTCAACAAATATCACGGTTGTGCTTCACTGCTTGCATTCTTTGGATTTTGAGTTTTCTCGCCTTATAGATTAGCAAGGCTCGCATCATACACAAGCTCAACTAAATGCAAGTCAATGAAATACTTGTCCCAATCCATGGTATCACCTAATGATATAAATGCTGCCATTTTGACCCATTATGGACATGCTTAAAGGGAAAGTTGATGTTACAAGACTATTGCTGTTGATCTGTCATCAGAGATCTCAGTGTGGCCTCCACATTTGACCCAGTATGTGTGTCGTCCCCACTTGATGGTGTGTGGTTTCACGATGGCAGCAAAAAATATGAATGTAGACGTAAATTCCCTAACAAACCAACCGACGACGTACTGCAACTTTGTGAAGGCTGTTGGGCCAACCTGTGAATAAAAGTGAAAATACATGTAACATAATAGCATCTTTTGTCACAAGTGCAAAACAATTCTGTTGGTCCGATAAGCTCAGCTAATAGTCCACTATAATAACACTAAAATCTACAGAAAATAATGTGAAGAGCCATGGTTGGGCTTGTAGTCTTAAAAGTGTTTTGCACAGATTCATATTATGACAATGGACCGACAGTACAAGACTTTGAGAGTGAGTGGCTTAATGAAACTTTGAATGGTACTTCAGACATATCAAGGTATGAATGGAAGTCTGATTGAAGGTGGATTCATGGATTGGAACCTATGACCAGTGATTCCCGGCAGCCTGGTTGAGAGATGTCATTCAACACAACAAGCTGTGACACTTTAGACCATCAATGGCATTTGTCTTGAATAATACCTTGGTTGGAAACATTCCAATCACAGATTAATGTGATAAAATGGAGTGAGTCAGGTTTTATGCCGCTTTGAACAATATTCCAGTTATATCATGGCATGTCAGCTTATTGTAGGAGGAAAGCCCGAAGTGATGCAGGTCTCCGACGTTTGCCATGTTAGTGAAACCCATGATCACGGGTATTGTGGTGACATACCTAGAAACAATCAGGGTGAACCGAGATTGGAACCCACAATCATAGTTTCTGGCAAGCCCAAGGGACAGAAGTCTGCACAGAGAATTGCAGTACCTTAGACCACTGGGTCACTCATGTCCCAGATAAATTTTAACAATGCTAATTACAGATGTTCACAGAAATAATTACTGTCCTTTCCAAATGTGTACCAGACAAGAGTGAGTGAGTTGTGTTTAACGCCGCTTTTAACAGTATTCCAGTTATATCACAGCATGTCGGTCTAATGTGGGAGGAAAGCACCAAGTGATGCAGGTCTTAGATGTTTACCACTTTGTTGAAATCCACGAGCACGGGTATGGTTCGGACAATCCTAGAAACATAAGCGGGGCAAACTGGGATTCGAATCAACAATCATAGGTTTCTGTCTTTCCCAAGGGATGCAACTCTGCACAGCGAATTGCGGCGCCTTAGATGATTGGGCCACCAGTGCACCCTGTACCAGACAAGTGGTTGAAGGAAAACATATCACATATCGGTGCTTACCTGAGCATTGTTAAGAAGCAGGTAGTCCATCACTAGCATGCCAACAACATGAGCAGCAAAGAAGTAGTATGGGTTAAAACCAAAGAAGTGATACTGGCACCATGCACCGTACACACCCAGAGGGAATACATCAGTAAAAGGTTCCACAAGGCTTACAACAGTCAACATGTTGATCCGCAGTCTCAACCATCTGAAGTACAAATAATATCTGTATACTTGTTTGCTGCTAACAAAGGTTCAAAACATGAGGGCTGGGTATTGGATGTTTACAGCGTATCACAATATTTTGCGATGCATAACTTTAAATCTTAAATTCACAGCACACTCACAATAGACTGCAATATTGGGTTCATCAATTTTGCCATCTGTTTGTTTTAGACTGAAGTGTTTCCACACTTCAGCTTTGCCTTTCACATTTGAAACAACTGACCACATCGCCATCTTGGGGCTGTGGGTGTTGACGACGGAAGTATATGAATGCGCATACATATAAGGGAGCTAACTGACAATTAAGCTCTTTTTTCCTGAACTGTGCATTTGGGTTATGCTTGAGGGACTTAAAAAAGCTTGCTAGAACTGCCAATTTGTCCAAACCTAGTCCCCATTTTATGTTCTATGTTTGTTTCACTCAGCAATATACCAGCTATATGATGGCGACCTGTATATAATCGAGTGTGGACCAGACAGTCCACTGATTGATATTGTGACCAATGATCCATGCCATATGATTTTGCTCTCAGCAACAGTTCTAGTTCAGGTACCCCATGATATTCTCTATGTGTACTGTTTAACACAATTCTCCTGTGACCTGAAGTGCATTTTCTATTACTAACAGCTCCATATGTGATTTTTTATCCTAACAACAGTACAGCCTCCAAACTAAACCATATTTACTATCCAGAAATGTACAAAAGCTCACCAAACAAAGCCAGATTTAATAACAACAGTGGTGAAACTCACCGAATTAATCGATCAACAAGCCCACAGTATGAAGTCCCCGCAACATTCTGTTGAGCAGGAAATGATGATAACACCAATTTGTAGCCTCTGAAAAAAAATACACATTACTTTTATTATGCATGCATGACAATAAATATGTTGGTATGTTGTTTAACACAGTTTTACAGTGAATCTCTCCTTCAGGATCAGCAAGAACTTTTCCAGCTAGGAATATCCACCGGAGCTAATAAAACTAATTCTGTACAAGAGACACCACGTTACACTGGAGACATGTATGGGAAAAAATTTTGAAATTTTTTTTTTCAACGAAATCTTGCAAATGTATATAATCCATGTACATTTCCTTTATTAGAGGGGCGGTCGGGTAGCCTAGTGGTTAAAGCGTTCGCTTGTCACGCCGAAGACCCGGGTTCAATTCCCGACATGTGTACAATGTGTGAAGCCCATTTCTGGTGTCCCCTGCCGTGATATTGCTAAAAGCGGCGTAAAACCAAAACTCACTCACTCACCCTTTATTAGACATATATCTGTTATCTAATTCTGAAAAAGGTGGAACCTGATACACCCGTGTATCTCCAAGATGCATAAATTCCTCAATAAGGCCATTGTATAGAAGTGTACTTTTCTACTATTTTTGATACACTGTTAAAGTACCAATCAATATTGTTCAATAAAATAATACTAAAAAAATTAAGATTTAGGAAAACTGTCCTTTCACATTTTACATGGTTATTTACTGTTATACAATAGAGGTACATGTAAACAAAATGGTGCCACAAGGCTCTGTAGCTCACCTGACTTATGAAGAAATCACTTCATCCTTATTTTGGTACAAATATCTATAGTTAGTCATGCAAAATATTCAATGAAGCGCCTCACAAAAAAAAAACTCAAGTATTTTTGCAAATAGTGAAGCCTAAACAATCTTGGATCTTATTATAGCCATTACATTCACATGTAGTTTAAGCTCTGTTGTTCTTATAAATTAGTTAAATCTAAATATTTTTTGACATTTGAATACTTATCCTGCATTGGGATTGATGATCAGTAAGTTTTCCTGCATGCACTGCTGGTAGAACTTAATCTGTACTGCTTCATGATACGAAATAATGATAACATGATACCTCTGATTGACCAATCTGAACTATTTCCCAAATTCATGGTAGAATTATACACTACACCCATACTGATCGGTTTCTAGTTTCTAAGTCTAAATTTCAAATATTTCCATTTGAAGCTGATAAAAAATATGTGACATTATGAATAACTGTGCAATGGATTACAAGAGTCATCAGAAAGATGACATATCCCCCCTGCAGCTGTCTGTAAAGTAACCACTAGTAAATGTGCAATTCTGTATGTAATGAGTCAACAGTTGAATGTTCTTTAAGGAGCATACATTGTTTACCCACTGAATGGTTTTCGAATTCTGGCCTGGAAACGAACCCATTCCCCAATGGAGTCTAGGTCCAACTTCTTTCCATAAAAATTGTAAAAAATAAAAATTCGTAAAAAAAAAAATATCAAAAGGCACCACTTTGGTATGTGCCTGATAGCTTTGCCAAGTTTCGATCAAATACACTGAATGGTTTTCGAATTCTGCCCCGGAAAAGGAAATGATTACGGACGGACGGACGGACGGACGGACGGACGGACAGACAGACAGACTGGCTGATCGCTATATCCCCCCGCATTATATGCCGGGGGGATAATAAAAGCAAATGAGCAAATGTCCTCAGACAGTGCAGCACCACAAACTAAATGTCACTACTTACTTTTCATGGATGGCTTTTGTTAGGAAAAAATCCTCTGCCAAATATTTTCCGAACCAGCTGAGTCCATTAAGCTGGTCGAGAATGGACTTTTTAAAGATATAAGACATGCCTGTCACACAACACAGGTTCATCAGGTTAAATGCCAAGTAAAAGCGCTGCAGGGCACATCCAAAGTATATCTGAAAATACATAAAACAACATTTCTTGTATATTATAGTTTACAAATTATTGCCAACTAATTAACTTGGGTCATATGAAATATATATGAAAATGTGTAGGTCAATTTTATCTTATTTTGTTGGCATCTTTGGATTGGTTGGTTAATTTCAAGCTATATGGCGGCAGTCTGCAAATAAACAAGTCTGGGCAAGACAATCCTGTGCTTGACATCATGAGCAACAATGTATACAATGACATGCATCAACCAAGTCAGCTAGCCTCACCAACCGATCCTGTAAGTCGCCTCTGGGGTTTCATGGTTTTAAGTGCATCATGGTTTTTCGTATTTTTTAAAAGTAATGTGTATGGCTTTACTTCTTAGTGAGAAGGTGCAGTGACATGAGGCTACACACAATACCCTTCATTAAGCATTATGTTAAAAATGAATACCCCAGTAGTTACTTCAAGTATGTATGATTTTTGTTGTATATTTTAGTCTAATGTATCTAAGATGGAGCAGTCAGACCAAAACATTACACTAAAACTAAATATGTTTTATTATCTGATTCTGGCTTTGGGCTCCGATTGAAAAAGACCTGAAGTGACATGTGGCCCAAATATGTCCTAATGAAATTCCCTTTCTGCATATGACACTGGTACAACACACAGATTCGATTTTTAATATATACTGGGTGAAAGACTGAGTTTTCTGAAGTTGAAAAGAGTGATATTTTCATTGCAGGGAACATAACACTTGATATTTCACTGGAGTGAACATAACACTTTTGTGTCACTATTGTCATACAAGAGTTAAGTCCCCTCAAAATGTCTCCCATTATTGTAAGTGTCTAGCCCATACACAAACTGGTGACGCCCTTTTAACGTTAGTTCCACTTTTTGACAAGGCAGAATAATGACAGATGGTCATTTATGGAGTTAATATCGCTTCTTGCCATTTGTTATTCTCCCCAAAAAGTTTCATTATAACTCTAAATTTCACATTTAACTTGTCAAACGAGACTGTTCGTTTTGCAAAGCACCATTTTTGTTACTTGACCAGCGTGTCTTCTTTTGCTTCAAACAGCGGTCACTTCGTTGTCAAGAATATTTTTTGTTAAAGTTGATTTTGCATGTACCATATCTAAATGTATTAATTTTCGTGACCCAAAATATTTTTGATACGATTGTTCATATTTTTTAAGATTTTGCAATGACGAAACTATATTGTGAATCACAAATACAAAGGATGGTAAAACGTCCCTGTGTGTTAGGTAGGGAGAATTTACGTTTCAAGGTTTTACATTTGTAATGAAATTCCAGGAGAGAATAAAATATCCACTATATTTACCCAAACAAACATCCAAGAATTTATCCAAGAATACAATGTACGCTTGCCTTTTTGTTGGACACAGTCAATACCAAAGTCGTTCAACCAAATTGCTAGTTTACCGGTATATAAGATAAGTGAAAAGCTTGACATAACCCTTCAATGGCTCCTGTCAAAACTCAAGCAGTAGCTTTTTCAGTGCTACTCAAAAGTAAACTGCTTGTACACAATCTGTACTTATATGCTTGAGTAGGAGTTTACAAAACAACAACTCTGTTGCTGTTTCAAATCAACCTTGGAAATAGCTAAGCACTACTTATCTTGCTTAGTGTCCAAGTGCCTACTGCATTGTGTCAAAGTGGGTTGTTATTGCCCTAGTTTCTGAAGGGACAATCCAAGGTTGTTTACAAGAGATAAAATGACAGTATTCTTGGGATCAAAAGGAAATTTGCAATTAATTAAAAGATTAATTCAGTCTGGTCCTGATTTGTTAATAAATTCTCATATAGATTGTGACCTACAACTTTCTATAGTAGTGACAGCAAATGTGTAGCAAAGAAACACAATTATCATCGTTTTAGTTAAGGATTGATGCTCAAACTGTCAGTGTAAGTAGTCGATTGTCAGACTTCTTTATTATAAATCTTGACAAGGATTGTGCAAGTGTCAGCTACATGTGGGACGAAAGTCCAAATAATAGCAGGTGGTTGGTTAAACCCACTAGTGCAGTCACGGTGCTGACAGACCAAGGATCCCAATCAGGTGAATCTGGGATTCAAACCCCAAAACAGTGGATCATAATGAACGCATTAGTGACTCAGCCACCTGTGTCTCTCAGGATTTAGTAAGCATGGCAGTGGGGCTAACAATTCAATCATAACATGTTGTCCATATGTGATAAACACCAGTAATACAATAACATGGCTACTTTCTTATAAGTGACCCACCAGGAGAAAAGAGACCTAATGAGTGCTTGAATACATTTGCGCTGTGACATCATGAAGACGTTTGACGTCAGCTTATTTCAGTGAAGATCGTTAGTTCGTAAAGTAATAAAAACACTATTTCAAAAATTTTCAGCAAACGTGTTTACTTTCTATTCAACAGACATTATGTCTAAAAAGTGCAATTATTTCATAAACAGTTATAAATCGGAAAATGAGTCTAAATGTTTGTTGTCATGTATCTCTGTAATAAATATAAATTATAAGCTTATGAATTGTATTTTTGTGTGCCAAAAGTACTGTAGTTTCAAAATACAATGAAAAGTCAAAATGGGATTTGTCACCCATAAGTCCCTGATCTCCTTGTGGGTCACGTATGGTGAACATTCAGCTTACTTTTTCTATGCATGAGCCAAAGCCTCTATGATCTAGAGTAAAAGGCATCTGATGGACAAGCCCAACATTTGGCTTATGTAGCTTGCACACCATATCCATGATGATGTCGGTTGAAACTGAAATAAGACAATAAGGTCATAATAACAATGCATTCTCTATTGTTCACCATAAAATGATTCAGTGACTGTTTATCCTGTAACCAGCAGAGTTGATAAAGAGCTCTACCCAGTGGACCAGCATCTACCACAAAGGTTTCACCAATATTAGTCATAGTTTACCTGTGTGTGTGTGTGCACATGCATGCGTGTGCATGGGCATGCGGGTGTAAGTCTCGCCGCATTCAGCAATATTGCAGCTTTTTCAGCTGACAGACCTATCATGAGACAGAAATTGTGAGCAATGCTGCATCAATCCACCCTGTTGGGGTATGATAACATGTGACTATCATTAACTTCCATCGCCGCGAATAGCTGCAAAATTGCTGATGCGGGGTTATGCAATATTCCCTCACTCACTCACTCATTAACTTCCACTAAGTGTGGAATGGTGTTTGTCTGTCTGTACATACCTTTGATTCTACTGGTACAGATCCACACATACTCATACTGAGCAGCATCGTAGGCGGGGGCCATGTTGTGGACCATGGGGTTGATGATGCCATTTTTACCACCTGAACAAAGACACCAACCAGTTACACTAAGAGCATCTAAATGTGTGCATTTGGATTGACACTACTTTTAGCAATATCCAAGCAATATCATGGCAGGGGACATCAGAATTTGGCTCCAATGTGGGGAATCAAACCAGGGCCTCAGTATGACAAGCAGACACTTTAACCACTAGGCAGTGAAAGTCAAGGCATCTTTGTCACAACTGTAAAAGCCTTTTAAATCTGGGACACACTCAATCTTTACCTTTTACTAAAAGGTAAAGATTGAGTGTGTCCCAGATTTAAATGCTATAGGAGCAAACCTCAAGGACCCCTTTAAATTGCTTGGCATATAAAATTCTACCATAAATGTACTGTGTATGCCATTAAAAACAGATTAGACAAAAACAAGCTGCACTGTTTTAAGTTTGTAATATTTAGGATCATATGATTGTGTTTTGGGGAGACCTTGTTTTGAAGTAAAACATCTGTGTTCAATGTTGCTTATATATATGAACTTTGTTCACATTGGTTCATTCCCTTGGACAAACAGATTGTCATCCAAAACGTCTTAATGATATTTTCTTGGCATAGAAGAATGGTCATATAAAAAGTTGACAATATCATGAAAATGTACCAGCACTATCACTGTAGACTACATGTATTCTAAAATTAGTGCCATTTTTGGTAAAAACATTTATCATGTATTTGAAGGCAATGGCAATGTGTTTGTTGAGGCCTGTATGGAAAATGGATGAGTTATCTTTACTGAGCATCAAATGGTGCCAGTTCCAACATATACCTTTGAATATCTTGACATCCACTTTAGGATAGTTTTCACAGAGTCTGTTGACAAGATCAACGGCTGGATCCTTTTCATCTTGAACACAACACAAGAGTTCAAACTGAAACCAGAGAAGCATGTTCATTTAATACTATTTCATAAGACTGTGTTATGCAGTAGTCAGAAATGTTTTAACATAAAAACTGTCCATAACGCCATCTACGTTCAGTACAACAACAAAAATGATTTAAAACAGCTACTAATTAACATATTATGTGTACCAAGTTATTTTAAAGAGGATATGTGCGCCATCCTAGTTTTGTGAAAACACTTCAATGAGACATAATAGTTACCATACATACATATGGTGAAACACAGATCTAATGCAGTTATAAACAATTTAAATGTTGTAAGTATTTACTCCTATTTATTTTACCAGTACTGTTCATGTAAAAACATTACATAAAATATAACTAAAACATATATGTAAAACACTATCTATAGCTCTTGTCTATATTATGAAGGGACATCAAGTAAATCTGCACAAAATCGTCCAGCAATCAGCCTTCACTGATTGAAATGGCATGATATTCATCCCGGGTCAACATGAAAATCCACCAAATCCCCTGATCGATTGTTGGCTTGGCATGAATGAACCATAACCATCCCAACTTGCTTCAAACTGCAAGACTCATATCTATATTTCCTACCTGAAGATAAAAGCCACAATTTCTGTTTTGATTCTTTTGAACAGCATTAATGCAACTGCATTCTCTACTGACCCAGAAGATAAAAATAGTGTACCATATTATTATACAAAATGTTAAGACCATCATGTGCCATTCCACAGACTGATGAAAATATACTTTTAGTTATGTAGAGGTCACTTCCTGCAGAATCAGCAATTGCCTTTGCAATTAAAATTGTCATTAAACCATCTGTAGATAGATGTATAACACGCTGACAGGGCAAGGATCATAATTGATGTGGATTTAATACTTGACTGGCCAATGATAGAGTGTATATTAAAAACCAATGAGTGGGTATTGCATACATCAAATAGCATTATCAAGCTGTTTCCAGAGAACATATGTACAAACACGAAAAGTCTGCAGAAACATACAAACTACAACTAATATCTCTAAGTAGCTGAAATACTTAATACAACTTTGAGAGAAAGATTTCCTGTTTGCAATTTGTCCTATGCAGTTCAGTATCTACATAACATGGGTGTGTCTCCCACATCTCTTATTTGAGGTAATACATCTTCCCGAGGCAAGGGAGTTAACTGACTGTAAAAGTCCAGTTTCCACCCTTGCCGCATTAAGCTGGAATTTCTTTGCTTGATCGTAGCGCCGCCAGTGGCTATTACAAGTTATGTCCCTTCTATGTCCCTCTTATTGACCAATCCGATTCCACCTCCCATATCACTTGCATTTGCTTTAAATAAAATGTTGATTTCGTTACCCGATTTTGATTGGACTATGCATAAACTTGTTAGTCCAGCCAAAACATAACTCCATAATTGGAGCCCAGTTCGGCAAGGGCAGAAACTGGACTTTTATAGTCAGTTAACTCCCTCGCCTCAAGAAGATGGAGGCAATAAAGATGCTTATAGTGTGTCAGTTCAACCAAATCTCAACCAATCAGGCATATATTCATGGTAAGAAATAAAGAGACTGAACACAAACCGATGCATTTGACTGACAAGACACTAACAGTTATTCTGTAGACAACCACATTTGAGGTAGATACTGATCTTATATTTTTTGCTGATGAGAAACATCTATAAACACATCAGTAAATCTTCTTCTATCATTGGATATATTTCCATAGTTGGTTTCATCTAAATTTGTTTAAACTGACCACAGATATAATATGTATCACGATATTTAATTTGCACCATTTCAACGTGCAATTCATGTTCCAAGAGGTTGTTGCTATGAACCAGTTGGTGTTCACTTGCATGACTGGTTGTTAATGTTTTGCAGGTTGTCTCTTCTATCAGCCACTTAACTATTCACACTACAATCTGCTAAAAGAAGCTCATAAAAAAAGTGGAAAAAAACAAGAGTCCTGTTAATTATTTCTCTTTCTTGAAGTTGACAACCCCTTAATAATGGCGTGGGTGACACCAAACATCAGTGGGCAGTTGCCATGAGCTGTGCAGCAGCGCCTAATCAATAACCTAGCGATTCCTACACATTCTCCATGGTGCACAAAGTGTCAACAATGGATCTCAAACCTGTTTACAATCCGTTTCTGTGTTCTTAACAGGCTGCAATAGACATGACGGACCAATCCATAGTAAGAAGAGATCAAGACCAACACTTCCATGAATACCAGCCATATTTACATGACAATGAGTAACATGAACCCTCACTAACATGCTTCCATCAATCACTGTCTTTGGCAGAGAGATCACAAACATCAGAGTAACATACTCCCTATTCCTGTCCTTCAAAAATAATAATAATTGAATTTCTCTACTTATGCATCACGTATAAATATGATAATTGATCAAGTACACAGTGATTGATAACGGAGTAAATCACATTCATTAACCAAACTGTAACCCACAACCACTGAACAAACACTTGTCAGCTTGGTGAGTAAATGTTTACAGTGTAGTCAGCAATATTCCACCTACATAATGATGGCCTGTACGTTCTTCAAGGCAAAACAATGGCTGATGAGCAATGATCCATACTGTTCCATAGATAGCAATATAAAAGAGACACCTTTTGTTCTTGGGAATTATCACGTCTGACTAGTGTTTTGTTTTGTTTGTTTGGCAATATTCCAGCTGTATGATGGTCGTCTGTAAATAACTGAGTCTGGACCAGAAAATCCTGTGATTGACATCATGAGCATTCATCCACTCAATTGGGATACGATGACATGCATCAACCCAGTCAGCGAGCCTGTTAGTTAGTTGCCTCTTACGACAAGCATAGACTAGTTTTGCAAAACTAGGCCACACATTGTAACCACCTGATTCTCACAAGCTGTCTTTCTGTTTGTCTGGACCAGACAATCCAGTGATCACAATTGTGGGCAACGATCCACATCGTCTGGGTAAGATGACACACAATCAACCAAGTAACCAAGCCTGACCACCAGATCAGTTGGTTTGCATATTACGATCTGTGTAGGGTGCTCTGGCTCTATTCTAACCTAGAATCCCAGAGTGTCTTTCATGATAAGCATGGGTATTGGGAAGCGTCCCAGGTTTCCTTACAGTGTGTGTATTAAGGGAGACATCTTACCTTTGGGTAATTCATGCTAAAATGACTCTCCAGGTTCTCTTCCAATAGCGGGTCGACGCCCATCAAGGGCTTGATGATGGAGACTCCGGGGAGGTCATCTCCCAGTACCGATGGGTCGGACTTCCGATACCAATAGAACCGTCTAGCAGGAATAACAAATAATTCAGTACACATATAGGTAACCAAGTTACAAACTATTGTACTTATATTCTGATTTGACATTGTCTGTTACTTAACGCTGCACTCAGCAATATTGCTGCTGTATGAAGATGGCATTTAAATAATCAACTCTGGACCAGACAAACCAGTGATTGATATTATGATCAAAATCCCATGCCGTAAAGGCATGCAATCATCCAAGCCACAAGCCACAAGCCACAACCGCCAGAACCGCCTTACATTTCTGGAGACCTACCGGTACACTACCCAGAATTACAAGATCATGTTAATTGTATGTTTACTAAAAACAATGATACCACTGCTCATAACTACTGTGGGAATTAAATGAAGCATGAAAACTTGAGAGATATTTTCCACCAATAATAGATTAGAATGACAATCCTCATACATATACCCATGGTAAGTTTAACAAAGGGAGTTATGAGTGAGCGAGTTAGCTGAGATTAATGCTGCCAAAACAGTACATTTCATTTATTCCACAGCATTTTGCAGGAAAGTCAAAAGTGTTCAAGCATGTTTACCACTTTGGCATGCCATGGGTACGGGTATGAGGCTGACAAGATCATTATCAGGTTGAATTTAGAGATCAAAAACCATAACCAGCAGATCCTGGTAACTGAGGGAAAAAAACTCATCAAGTGTAACACTGTAGTCCCTGAAACACACTGAATAAATGGGTTCAGTTTGGTTTCTGATACATAATATGGATACAACACACCGTTTACACTCTGATGAAGATGATAGGGCTCTGACAGGTTTTTTGAGTACTCAAGCACAGATCAGTTGCAGATGGACTCGAATCACTAAATTCACTAACACAAACATGGAAGAGAAAACAGTTCAATGTCTGGACACATTTTGACTTTGATGATGCTGAGATGTCAATGGTATGGCATATTACCAGAAATTACTCCAGACATTGATTCTGACATTACTTAACCCCAGATCAGGTTTTAGGACGCAGGTACTTGAGCCCTTGACGGACATTAAAATGAAGTACAGTGCAAGGCTAACCCTCCGATGAAGGAGATGGGGATGACATACAGCAACAGATGGGGATGACGTACAACACAAGACTTACCCTCCGACAAAGGAGATAATGACGAAGCACAAGGTAGAGCAGTACAACACCAGGCCCAGGATCCCGAGGATGAACACAATATAAGAAAATGTCTGAGCATCCAGGACTTGATACATTTTCTGAAACAATAGGACACACAAGTTAGTCTTTCATCCGACCAGTCCATCATCAATAGTATCACATAGTATAAACATAAATCTCATAATTCCACCAACAGCAATCATTACTGATTGAAATGACAACTCTGAACGATCTCAAAAAAGTTCTACTTTGAACATATTACTATCATTGTTCGTTTGCGGGTGTGAATTACCTCAGTCATCAATAATGTTCATAAGGTCGGAAACAGAGTGAGTGAGTGAGTTGGGTTTAACACCACTTTAACAGTATTTCAGTTCTATCATGTTATGTAATCATAATGCGGGAGGAAATCCCAAAGTGATGCAGGTCCCTGATGTTACAAACCAAGGAAGATAATCTGGGATCATAAGATTATAACATGCCTAAGGGACACAACTCTGCAAAACTGTGATACCCTTGCAAATCAGGCAAATTAATAGCCTATTAATATATTTATACAAAAATAAAATATGATTATTTGAACTATGATTCAAGACAACAGGAAGTCAAGATTCACCTAGTAGTGCAAGTTATGAAAAGGCTATTGATTTTCAACAACTAACCTGTAAAAGCAAGACATACTCTAACTCTAAGCTACTTTCATAATAAGCATGGCTCTAACTGTGATAGCACAAACAAATCCCCTCAAGCAGTGGCTTTAACAATTAAACCACGGATGCACACCTATCTAATGATACATAGAAACAATCAGTACAAACGACAGAAAATCCCTAAATACCTCGCCAACACTGGACTCAAACTTGCTTTAAATAATGCAACAGCAACTCTGCTATTCTGATTGATTAACTGAAGCATTGCTGACTACAAACCTAAATACTATGCAATGATTTCCCTGGGGATATGCATACGGAGAAAGACATCAACAAAAGACACACACTATGATTACTTCACTCATGTGACCAGCAAATAAAAACAGACACTTAAGCATTTCAACCAGACACTTTGTTTGTGGTCAGAATGGCTTAAAATGCCCATTTCAGGTCTACATTTGACAAAATTACATTGGGGGGGGGGGGAGTATGTGTGTGTGTGCACCCAATACCCCTAGATAGCTTCGCAACTGCATGGTCTGCCACTAAAATTTCCGAGGGGACCCCATTATTTTGGAGACCAATGAAAATTATAACACTGTGATATGAATCCCATGGTCCTTCCTTTGGGCCCTGTTGGGATATACTTCACATGTACACATGTACACATCTAATTACTGTAAACAGCTTTATTTCTGCGCCGTTAAAATATTGCGAATACCACACTAAAGACAATACTGCGACGAGATATTTTTGAGAGTTGCCATGTTGATATGACCCCTTGATTACCAAACAATAGACAGCTTCTCTCCGAAGCTAGTTAATCTGAGTTGGCCGGAAAGTTGACCGGAAGGGATTGCGACCAATTATCAAATACGATAATTGACTCAACTCAGTGCCATGACTGTGAGTTTGAATGCAAACTATATAAGAAGACATTAATTGGTCTGTTTACACTGTCATTTGTGATGTATTGTGTGACCATTCTGCATTCATTTGTGTTTTTCACTTATTGAGTAACTTGTGGTTCTGGTTGACGATTTCAACATTTGATGACGTGTTGCAATGAATAAAGAATGTATGTATTATTTATACTTATTTTTGCGTTTTTAATTTTTGCGATTGAGTCTCGTTGCAAAACTCGCAATAATAAAACGGTCGCAAAAAATTCCCTGTTTACAGTATATTTCTGTGTCAAGAGTCTATAGCATCTGTCTCATTACATTTCATCCGTATACAGTCATCACAACAAATGTGTCTACTAACAAGCATGAAATATTCATATCCCCCGCCAATATGACATGTCTGGTTGTGTGCAATTCATTGGCTCCTGTTAACTATGTTCATTGGACCTTTTTGTAAATGGCCTAATTGCAGCACTAAAAAAGTTATTACTGGTCTTGTTTTGCCTTCTGCAGTATATGATAGAATACGTAGCTGTATTTGTAATGAGTTACGTTATTACTTTAACAATAATCAGAGAAGTAAGGGAGTTCTCTGAGAGCAGGGGTCACCATGAGGTGTACTGAGAAGTACAACACCAATCATCTGATGATCTGAGTAGTAGACTGGAGTCCGGAATGCTACAGCACTGGCATGATCAGTAAACACCAAGTTTAAGAGAGAATGAATTGGGTCATTTTCTGCACATTAAAGAAATCTTCAAATTTCAGTTTTATTTATTGTAAATTGGATTTTCACAATAATTCACCACATACCTTGTCCAAGTTCCTTTGTCAAGTGGTATACATCTCAATTAGGTAATTATGGTAATGATTCTCAGACAACCCTGCGTATAAGTTTTTGTAGAATGTGTAAGCGGTTTCCGAGTTAAGTGCTTGCTAAGGAAACATCTGTAAAAGCTCCCAAACTATCAAAAGGCATCAGTTTACCACTTGACTTATCATATATGCCAAATTTGGTGAAGAAATATTGTACGGTTTTCAAGATCTGTGCCAAGTTTGGTGATTTTCAGTCAAAGTCAAAGTTGTTGCCAGGGAAACTTAAATATTAAATACATTTTTTTTTTAAATCCCAAACTATCAAAAGGCACCAGTTTACCACTTGACTTATTTATATATGCCAAGTTTTGTGAAGAAATATTGTATGGTTTTCAAGATCTGCTCCGGAAACGAGCTCTACCGTCATTATCAGTCTAAGTCAAAGTCGTTGCCATGGAAACTCGAAAAATATTGTTTTTTAAAAATCCCAAAGTATGAAAAGGCACCAGTAGACCTATCTATGTGCCAAGTTTGGTTAAGATATCTCTCATGGGTTTTGTGTTCTGCTCCGGAAGCGAAATGTGATGGACAGATTGACGGCACCCATTCCTATATCTCCCTTCCACTTCGTGGCGGGGGATAATAATCAGGGACATATAAACAATGTATAAGTTTCTCATAAATGTCAACATGAAACCAAGTGAACAAAACACTGAAAAGAAAAACATACCTTATGTATGTCACTGTATTTGTGAGTGCAAACTTATCTGTGACATATTTCGGTTGCATATGTCATTAATGATCAATACTACCGTACATATGTACGAAGCCACTATGCTCAAGCAAACGTTGCTGACATGGGCCATGGCAAAAAAAGAGAGAGAGAGAGAGAGAGAGAGAGAGAGAGAGAGAGAGAGAGAGAGAGCAAACCATTGGCACATTCTGGACTATACACATTACCAAGTCCTCTGATCATTTCCACAATAATATTTACCACAACTGCATGGAAATTTAGAATGGTGTATGTTTCACTCAACATTTTCTATATTGCAGTATATATACACCTACACATCTGCCATTATGCAGATAACACAGTAATTTATGAGAGATATAACTTTTCTACCAAACTGAACCAAAGAAATTCAAGTTAAATCAACAATTAAGGCCTGCAAGAAATTGTTGGGAGTGGTTGACTGAACCGACTGAAACGAACATGCAATATCATGACAGTGTCTTTGTGTAGTCCTCCCACTCAGAGATATCTTTGATCTTTGGGCGATCAATCTCTGGCTAAACTGATATATATATATATATGGCTAAACTGATATATATATATATATATATATATATATGGATCACCTCTAGAATGTCCGGTTAAAACATGCATGTTTTAACTGTGAATCTCAGGAGCACAACCGGGCATCATGATATAAATATACATATATGTAACACATCCCAACCAGGTTATCTGGTGTGTTACCTTGGAGATAAACAAAATACAGCTTAAAACAAACTCAAAGTTGACTGAAACATGCCAAAGCAGTTTGTGCCTAAACCTTTTCAGTCTACTAGCCCAAACTTGACTATTAGTATCATTTTCAGTTGACTTAATGTTATATACTACTCAAAAGAAGTTAAAGAACACCCAATTTTTTCATATTACTACAATTACTTTGTCAAGCCATGATAGATTAACTTTAGTACTGTGAAAGAATTGGGTGTGTTTTTTTTTATCTTCTTTCAAGTTGTATATATGGGTTATTATTAGTTGAGACCTGTGAAGATCCAGGGTGGAATAGGTCAAAAGTAAAAGGTGACTATGCTTTTGTAAGATGTGACTAAAGGGATCGGGTGGTCAGGCTCACTGACGTGGTTGATGCATGTCATCGTATCCCAATTGCGTGGATCGATGCTCATGATATCAATCACTGGATTGTCTGGTCCAGAGTCGATTATTTACAGGCCGCTGTCATATAGCTGAATATAGCATATTGCTGATGGGGCGTTAAACAAAAAAAATAAAAATATTATAAGTTGAGCTCAATATGAAGTCGAACAGACTCCGGTCTCAACTGGTGGATAAAGTTGCAGACTTATAAGTACACACTTTACCTGCTTGATTTGTGATAACATATTAGGACACTTCCTAAGAAACCTGTACTTTTACTTTGGTCCTCAGGCTAGGACAAACTGGTTCAGTTTCTACCCCTGAAAGGAGCACACTGTTAAATCCACACAGCACGCAACTTACTTATCAGATGTGCAGTGAAACCAGGTAATTGAGTTTTACATCCACATTTTCCTTAAGCAAAATTAACTGTTGTGCTAGTACACATGCCCACACGCTGTAACTGTGCATAAGAGTGGTGTGATCTCATTTAACAAGCATGACACATTTATCGTAGAAGCTGTGGCAAGAAGACCCAGATTGCAATGTGTCATGCATACAGCCTGTCTTGATTATACTCATTAGGGGCAAACCAGTGTCATATAACATTTTGCAAGTCAGTTATTTTTGGCTGGTTGAATGCATGTAAATGATTCTTTGCTCATTATGGTAAATTCAGAATCCAGTCAACTCTCAATAATTTGACAATACAAATTTACCGGATATGTTTTTTAAAACTTGTCTTTCAATTTGTCCAGTCCAACTGAAACCTGATAACAAGAATTGTTTAAGAATTCTGAATGACCAGATTTTCTTGGCCTCGGGGATGACTTTATTGTAAACAAGTTGACCAAACAACAGAAAACTGTTTAAACAATCTTGTGCCAGGTTCACCACTCATCTGCATCTGATCAGTTGAAACATAAAAATGTCACAATCCCTCTCCATTGTTTGAAACTAAGCATGAGGGTGAAGGGTTCTTTGTCTTAGCACTTATAAGAAAAGTTAAACAGGGTCCCAAGATTCAATCCGTGAAGACCAGGTTAGAATTTGGTCTTCAGCAACCCATGCTTTCCATATGAGGCGACTAACTGGATTGGGTGAACAGGCTTAGTGATCTTGTATCCCAAATGCATAGATCGATGCTCATGTCAATCCCTGTACTGTCTGGTCCAGACTCGATTATTGACAGACCCCCATCATATAGCTGGAACATTGCTGAGTGTGGCATTAAACAACAAACAAACTAGTTCTTAGATTCAAATGCTAAAGTAAAGGCTGACTTCAAGGACCCCAGGAAACCCCTAACTTTGACAACTACCTCAATGGCACTGCTTCTCAGTTGCTGTATGCAATGTCTATTTTTAAAGGAATACATTGCTTATTATGTTTATTAGAACATAACATTTTTAGCTTTGCTTCCCCCCCCCCCCCCCCCCATTATGCCTGTGCATCTATGCAGTCATGTGACAAGTCGCTACCAGAAGGTGGAATTCTGGGAAAGTAGATACTCACTATGCGTTCCCTTGATTTGCCACTAAACAAGATTTGACTGTCAAAACCCACCTGATATTAGAAACATTTTTTAAAGAAAATTCAGGTCACCACAATAAGAACAGTTTCTGTCAAATCTGGTTTCTATTAGGGCTGCAACGAAAACACTACGAGGCGAATACGATTCATATCACGAATATAGGGTAATTACAATTACAATAACAAGTCAGCAGTTTATGTATTATTTATTATATTCAGTGAAACAATAACATCATAATTTATTTGACATGGTTTGTTAATTATTAATAAATTATACATTTATATACTGTACTTATCCAGGTACTAGTATCTGCTCAAATGCGACAATGACCAGTGAAAACAATACATGTACTATCAAATTAAATATTATTAGAGTGTTGTCATTGAAAGAAATCTATGCATAAAATATGTTGTTATGGATATTTTTAGGTACAGGGTATGTAAATATACATGATAGCATATTCATAAATATTCAATTCTAGTGGCCATGAATACCGAATTCAATTCATGAATGGTTACGGTTCGATTCACTGAATATGAGAGTGAATCGTTACAGCCCTAGTTTCTATATCATTGGAAAAGAAAAAGAAATCACTTTGAAAGTTCTATTTCATCAATAATTAAGTACTGATAAAAAGGAGCATGTATTGTTCCCTATTTTATGAGTACTGGAAGCAGTCTAGCAATTTACACACTTTTATTCCGAAGACTGGGCAAAAAGCAAATTTGACATTTGAGAACTAATATACATTAAATTCAATTTAAGTGATGTCTCTTCTTTTGATGGTGTTGTTCCTGTATAACCCGGTTCCACTTGATAAAGGGATTGGATCCATCCGGTAAAATATGAATACAAGTATACACTGAAATAAGTACAAATACATTTAATCCCTATCTGATGCCACTCAAATGCTAAGTATATCTTACTTTTCTTATCTCTGCAGTAATTGTAAATAAATAAATGTCATAAAAATGTTATAGGCCATGTTATTGATTTAGAAAACATTGCCATTATCATTTTCCTTGTTAAAGTCTTATATTTTTGTTGAAATTCTTAAAATCTCAAAAATACATATTTTGACATTCATACATTATGATGAAATGAAAGCTGAATAATACATTTCACTGGAGAATTAAAGAAAACATTACGCAACTAAGCAGTGTGTTCTAAACTCAAGTGTTTAAAACCTTCTTATCGTCTTGTTGTCAGCTGTTTTCCTCACATCAAAGGCAGATAACTCTAAATCGGTGACACACCTCTGTTTAAGGTCCAATTTCTACTTATTAAGTTTAAAAAAAAAAAAAAAATGTTTGTCAAGTTAACAAATGATTATATTGAATGTATGTTCCCATACTTCATGAAAACAATTACTGGTAGATCTATCATTTTGGGCTTATGTTTGAAAATGAGCAAATTTCAACTGACCACCCACTAGGAAGTCAAGTTGACATACCATGCTCAATCTGGGGCAAAGCTTGCTTTCGGATCTTGTCGGTTCTTGGTTCCAAAATGAAGCTAGTTGTCTTGTTGGTAGGTAGTTAGAACTATAGTTTCACTCATGTGCCCCCTGATGAAATGCCTACTGCACACTTATGAATTTTGTGTCAGAACTGTCGGAAGCCCACTCACTACCATCAATATTCACACGGTTGATAGCCTGTCAAAAACCTCTTCATCGCCATTAAGGTTTCTTTGGAATGGAATGAAATATGTATCTAGTGGTCGTCACTTGCATGGAACAAAACGGCACATACATACAACAGCATACAGGCATGGTGACCCAGATAATAATGTTTCATATTGACGGCGCCATTCACCTGGGCAAGTGTTGGTACACGAGGGTAGAAATTTGGTCATATCCTCGTTTTAAAAGTTCTTTCCTCTAGGTCATAAATAACTCATGAATAAAGTCTACAGGACATTTCATACATTAATGACAATACAAGAATATTTACTAAGTTTATCATCATTTTACTTGTAGAAGTACCTCTTTAGGCTACTCACAGTGTCAGTTAGGCTAGGCTACATTAGGTAGCTTTGCGTTAGTTTGATAAATGCTATTTTCATAGCCCTATGACTCGTATTTATTAAAGGAAGCCAGAAAAACAATTTTTTAGCATTTCCAACAGCACAGGTACTATTAAACGCACACTGTCAGTTACTACGGTATTATCCCAGGGGACAGTGCAGGTAACACAAATGCACATCAAAATGCTGTGATGAACAAAGGATTAAGGTATGAGTAAGGTAGGGAAAAGGAATTGCTTAGTGATCGTAAGGAGCAAGCAGAATTTAGGATAATTGCAACTGAGTTTGTTAAGCTGCCAGCTATCAGCAAGACTAGTTTGGGGGAATATCACGAAGAAATGAGTTAGTGGAGATATGAATCAGCAAGTTGAAGCAAAACACTGGAAGCCTCACTACAAACAACACAAAGTGTCTGCTGCTGAGAGGAGCAGACGTCAGTCTCACCATGCAATGTTGTGGCAAGTGATGGAGGAGTAGGTTCGATACAGAAGGTCTTTCACATGCATCTGATGCCGCCTGTTCATGCATACACCATGTATACAAGTCCAGAAATGCACATGCAGTGGGCTGGACACATTCTGAACTCATCAACATCACTGTTTATGTCTGCCATGTAAATCTAGTCTGGCTGGTTTAGCAACACCTGGTAGAAGGATGGATATTTGTCATATTGCATTGTTGCACTGTCATGTGATAAGCAGCATATATCATTCACTTTTACCATCAACAAACGATGACTAACAATTTCTGTGAATAATATGTCCATAATATTTATTCCCATCCGTGACTAATTTTCACATGATGAAATCTGGAATACAAACATATACATTTTGTTTTATTGTGGTAATCAGCTTTTAGCTGATTATCTCATGGAAGTTAAAAACAGGTATATATACTTTATGTTCAGTAAGAAGCAGACTGAACCAAATGTATTTTGCTCTACTTGTCTAAACACTAAATCTTTCAACAACAATCTTTTCACTCTCAATAGCACAGTTAGGGAGAGTACTAGTCTTGACCTTGGATTTGTAATAATATAAGTCAGTTATGTTCTCAAACTTGACCTTGACCTTGATGAATTGAACATAATAATATGAGTGAAGCCCAAAGTGATGCAGGTCTCAGACGTTTACCACTTCGGTGAAACCCACAAACAAGGGTATGGTGCTGACAAACCTAGAAACATAATCAGAGCGAACCAGGATTCGAACCCACAATCATAGGTTTCTGTCATGTTCAAGGAATGCAACTCTGCACAGCGAATCATGGTGCCTTAGATGACTGGGCCACCCGTGCCCCCTATGAGTCCAGTCAGAGATAACACAGGGGTTATGCAAAATGTACATAGACTAGCCCACAAACATGTAGTCTCAGAAATAAAGTTAATTGAACAATATGTATCTACAAAATAAAAAAAGTGAAGTCAAACTGGAGCCCATAACAACGCCAGATGTCTAGCGCCGAGGCAATCTAGACTTGCCAAATCATTCGAGACTGAGTTGGGTTCATTTAACAGTTTGTTTTCTTGGGTCTGGAAGACAGACTAAGAACCTCTGGTCTCAACATACAGTTAACTACGTTTACAACGAACACGATTATAACGTACTGACGGATATAACGAACTGTTTTTTTTGGTCCCGTCCATTTGCTGTATATATGTTGTAAATATGCTTATAACGAACTACGGTTATAACGTACTAAATTCAGTGGTCCCTTTGAGTTCGTTAAAACTGTAGTTTACTGTAATGCTGGTGGGAAAACACATGTGACATATCTGGTACATTCTATCAAGGATAATCAAATAAATACAGTGACTAAATGAAATACCGACACCAAGGATCTGAGATGACATCTAGTCTACACGAAGAATTTCGCAAAGTAATGAAAGCTTATTTTCATGATTTCCTTGTGATAACCTGGTCGTTAGGTTCTAAATTGTTCTAAACTCAGATATTGTATTGTTAAAAGCCTCTGTAATGTCTCTCTCTCACAGACAGACAGACAGACAGACAGAGATGCCTAGCCAAATATGCAACTCAATATCAATGTGACTCCCCCAACTACATTCCCAGTGAATGATACATCCCCTTACCTTAAAATAAACAGTGTTTTCCTCAAAACAACACACAGTTTATATGTCTATTTTGTTGACTAATTGGTATGTGTAGACAAATACAAAGACAATGATGCCTAGTTTGATACGAGTGGGTAGAGCTCTTGACTCCAGCAGTGATAACTAACCAGGTGCCTACTGTGTAATTCCTATTCTCTGAATGACATTTCAGTTACAACTGCTGCTCAATAAATGCTTTTGTGTTTATATTCAAGTTGGTATTTCAACTATCCAAAGTATGCAGTGAGGACGTCTTATTGTTGATAGTCATTTTGGAAACATAAATGCGAAGTTTCATTAATGCGAACAAAGACCACTGGTATTATTCACAAAGACCACTGGTATTATTCACAATTAATTCATGCTTGCATTAATTTGAAGATTTACAGTATACTATGTCTCTCCATGTAACCATTGGATATTTCACAAATACTGCATTACTTTATCAAAACGATCTGATCAGTTACACTTGCATGCAACCGTATGTTGAAATTTGTATCATGAGTTGGAATTTGAAAAGATTTAGTGATCACAAAAGGATCCTGAAAGAATAATAAACAGAAACTATAGGTCAACAGGTATTTCAGAGACCATGCATATTTTGAAATGTGAGGTCACAACTAGTATGCCCTCTATCATTCTCTGATAATTTGAATGAAATGAGTGAATTTGATTTTGATTTCATACGATTTTTAGAGCGTCACATAAAAGTGACATTGTAGGGAATCAAACACCCTGTCCTCAGCATGGTAAGCAAACACCTAAACCACTAGATTATCCTCCTAAAACTTATTGGGTTGCCTAGGGATAATGACTGGATAGAATGTTTTGAAAAACATCACATTCCATATAATTATCTCAAATAACAGTAGGGCACAACAATGACTTTTGCAAAAAGAGTCTTCATGTTACTAATGAAACAAGAATGCCCAAGCAAAAACATCCAGATTTTACAACATAGTTACATGATCTATTACACTTACAGACCAGTAATTATGAGATAAAAAATATACAAATGCAACAATTATAGAGACTCTCAACGTAATTTTGCAGATTCATTGTTTAGCTTTTCATCCATTTTCAAGATTGAAGAAGTCTCCTGATGTCATATGTATTGCGATATACATGTATGGGTGTCTGTGTGAAATGTATGAAATAATGAAATATATAAGAATAGAATAAAACCACAATTTTGAAAATTGTATAAACATTATAGCATACAATGTAACCAGTATATTTTGAACCTGAGCTGGTTCTCTATCTAAAACAACGTGAATAAGATTCTTCTCTCTGTGTAAAATTTATACCAGGGACACATTTCTGGTGAATCTGGTGTCACTTCAAAATATATTAATAAGCAGGCCCTAAAGACTGCTTCAATGTACTACATCCTTTCAAAGTACAACCGGTTTTCCTATAGTAATAGTTTCAAGTGTTAACATTGCATCAAGACAGGTTACATCCACAATACAATAAGTTGTGTTTACTCACATTGTGTATAGGATCCTATAACAGCTGGAGGGAAGATGGAGAGGAAATGCTGGGTGGAGGTGCACACTGAATCAGCTCACGTCAATCCTGTACATCAAGTCTGAAACAGCCATAAATACTATACGCTACAAGCATGCTTGATGAAAAATAAACAGCATTTGTAAATAGAGCAAGCCAATACATCAAGTATGTTCACATCATTATGTGAAGAGGTAGGGAAAAGGTAGACTACCGGTACTGCTTAGTCTCTGAAAATATATATGTTTGATATATAAAACATGAGGAAAGTTTAGATTTGCTTCATTTAGGGCTACAGCACTCGAGTAAGGGCTGGGAAAGAGGGTAAACAAGAAAACAGTGTTATCCCTATGCCATGGGGCACATTAGAATTTTGTTTGTTCATTTAGTGGTGAATAAAACCAGCATTATAAACTGGCATAGTCCTGTAGTCCTTGCCAATCTGCCCAATAGTCAAGGTATCATAAGGACTTAAGGGTTTTGTTATATGTTATCATGTAAGGACTAGGGGACTAAAAATGTTAGTTTCTACTGCTGTAAAACTATATAAAAAAAGAGTCCTATAAAGCCTAGATAAAGAAGAGATAGGCACTAGGGTCGCTTTATGTCATCAGACAAAAATGTGAAATTAAAACACACAACAGCCCCCTTCTCTGAAAAAAATAATTTATGGTACCCATTCTCGACCTCAGTCTTGATAAGATAATTTTAATAGTTTATGAGAAAACTTGTCCCCATTGCAGACACAATGCACTTTGTAAAATAACATGGATCAGACACTATGCACTTTGTAAAATAACATGGATCTAGGGCCATAACTGTGTATGCTGAAAATCTGAAAACATGTTCCAAGGGAAATAACTCTTGAAAAAAAAATTGACTGGACCAAAGAATCTCATAGATAATCATGCAAAGTTACATTCATGTAACGTCAGTAGTTTCTGAGAAAAGTTACCCCCATTGCAGACACTATGCACTAAGTTTAAAACCATTGAGCATGAGCAATAACTCGGTTATAAAAAAATATAGCACCAATTTTAAAACTTAGTCTTGGCAAGTATCTCTCATATATGCATGTAAACTTTCATTCATGTAATTTGAGTAGTTTCTGAAAAAAACTTGTTCCCATTTCACTCAGAATGCACAAAGTTGAAAAGCACAACCAGGCCCATAACTGACGTAAAAAAAATCAATTTTCGAACTCATATAAGATCATGACAAGTAATATCAGTGCGTAAAAATTTCATTTCTCTAACTTAAATAGTATTAAGAATTGTTGTACCCTTTGAGAAGCAGATGGACGGAAGGACAGATGGATGGGCGAATTCCTATATCCCCAGCATATCTGTAACTCCCATACTTTAACATAGGATTACAATAGTCATAAGTAGGGCTGTTACGATTCACTCGCGTATTTGGTGAATCGAACCATAACCATTCATGAATTGAATTCCTTATTCATGGCCATTAGAATCGAATATTTATGAATATGCTATCATGTATATTTACATACCCTGTACCTAAAAATATCCATAACAACATATTATATGCATAGATTTCTATCAATGACAACATTCTAATATTTAATTTGATAGTATTGTTTTCACTGGTCATTGTCGCATTTAAGAAAAATACTAGTACCTGGATAAGTGCAGTATATAAATGTATAATTTATTAATAATTAACAAACCATGTCAAATAAATTATGACGTTATCGTTTCACTGATTATAATAAATAATACATAAACTGCTGACTTGTTATTGTAATTGTGAATTAATATTCGTATTCGTTACCCTATATTCGTGATATGAATCGTATTCGCCTCATAGTGTATTCGTTGCAGCCCTAGTCATAACCTTTGGTCACTTTCTGCAAGTGGGTCCAGAGGTGTTATAAGACAACTGCTTGGTGCTGTCTTGAAGCATGGCACTGTCAGGAGTCTTCTTGAAAAGACAACATCTGACTGTGATCAGGCTGAGTAACCGAGTTTGTCAATGCTCTAGCAGATCCGGATTTGGGCTTGTACGTACTTTACAAAGGACAAGTACAACTTCAGGCTTTTCAGAAAGTCTCCTTATATGTTATCACTTTACAATCTAGTACATGTTTCAAGTGAAGTTGTGTTCCTGAATACCAGGAAGCACCGCAACAGCCTGCATGTCTGTTGATCAGATTTAATTTTATACATGTGAAAAAACAACAACTCAAACTTAGCCCCATATCATCCAAATATTCATAGAAATGAACCAGCATAATTGGAAAATTATCAATCACAGTTTTCATGATGACTTCCTTGGTTGGAAACTGAAGCCAGTTGATCATTGATGAAACTGATAAATTGCCACAAGACTACTTTGCATAGCATCAACAATATCTCACCCTTGAAAACTATCAGAGTCACAGGACGATGAAACACCTACCAACATGTCAAACTTGTTTATGGCTAATGGGAATAAGAAAGTCCAATGTCCTGTACACTGAGATCAGAGCATAGCCATATATTAACATGATCACAGTATTGCAATGTGCAACAACTATCGATAGGGCTGAGAGAAATCACTTCCTTGTTACCTTTTGTCAATCAATTTCAAAGGGAAAGGGGGCCACAGGTGTCCCAGTCGTCTAAGACGCCGCGATTCACCGTGCAGAGTTGCGTCCCTTAGGCACGCCAGAAACCTATGATTGTAGGTTCGAATCCCGGTTCGGCCCGATTATGTTTCAAGGTTTGTCAGTACCATACCCATGCTCGTTGGTTTCACCGAAGTGGTCAACATCTGAGACCTGCATCACTTCGGGCTTTCCTCCCACATAAAGCTGACACGCCGTGATATAACTGGAATACTGTTAAAACCAACTCATTTACACTCAAAGGGAAACATCATTGTGAATGCATATCTGTGAAGATTTTGGGGTAAACGATTCAAATCATAAAAAAACTTGTTAGATAATTTGTATCCAATGTACCAGAAAACAACAGTACACCGGTGATGCAGTCCTAACAATTGAATGTCATCATATGTTATCACTCCTGACAATAATGTATTAAGCTCTTCATCAATTTACACCCTGACCAAAAGCAAGATATTAATAACCACACACAAACACAAAATTTCATAGACAGGTCACCCACAAAGAGCAAGTTTTAGCGAATGTTTTATTCAAATAAAAGATGAGCATTATGCGGTATAGTTTTAAAAAAGGACTGAAATATCATACAGAACATCAAAGTACTCTTTCGGATTAATGATAAAGGAAAGTATTTAATGCTTCCATTGAATATTCAAATATCCCTACCCTTCTATCGCTGCTACCCACAGACTTGCCCCTCTCTCTATCCTCTTCCTCAACAATTTGACATACAAAGTGAAGCCCTTATCTGGCCCAAACACCTTCAATGTTGCACAGACCTGGTAATCCGTTGTCATCACTGCCATGCAAAACAAGTAATAAAAATCCCATGAAGAATTAATGTCCAGAAGAACTTTGGTGATTACCTGCCCACGACCAAGGTCTTCTACTATTCAATCAATCACAATGGAGATCAATAGATCGATACATGTGTACGAAAAGACTGCCTTCACGCACCAATAACACATACAGCTAGAGGATGTTGCTCGGGCTTCAGGACTTATTCAGTGTAAATTCCAGACACAAGCATGTTTTTGATGTTCATGGTAAGCTATGGCTGACCACTTAATCTTCAGGGGCCGGCAGTTTTGATTAATTTATTACCAATTCAATTTAATGTTAATGCATTTATTCGTCATTATTAATCTTACAACATGATAAGGAGATAAACATACCATGTCTTCAATTTAGTTGTTTCAAATGTTGTTTTAATTCCTGTAAATTTCATTTGAAATGAAAAGAAAACTTTATAGGTTTAAAATCAGAAACTGCCCACTGGTTTGTGAAAGAAGTGCTTTCAAATAAGTCTTCGAATGGCCTTTAGAAGTGCAACACATAAGTTAGAGATCTTGTGGCTGTCCACTTCTTTATCTACATACAGAATGTTGACAACCATAAACTCTCAAATTTGGTTTCAAATAATGTAAATATTTTTGGGGGGTGATATCGACATCAACAACATAATGGTCAAACCTTGATTTGATACCACTGGCAGATTAATCAGAATGCACAATACTTAAATGTCATGGTAGAATTCTTGTCCAGTCATATGATAAATGACAGTTCTCACTGGTTCAACAAACATTTAGTTATCAATCTGGTCACCTCTGCATATGTCACAAGTGAATGGACACATGTCTTGCGTCGTACCTCATCTTCTTGTCAAGGCCTTGGTTTATTTATTAACATGCAAAATTTGTTTCCTAATGTTCCATTTTCCTATGTTCCTGAAATATATACTATTCGAATTGAGGCATATGTCCTCAATGATTGTGACTGATTGTGACAAGAAGTATGTGCAAGTAAAATATCTCAGCACCCCAATCATATATGAGAAGTATATTATCCAAACATACTCATCATGCTCATGGGACCTTCCTGTGGGAGTGTACCGTATCAACCTTTTCTGAATACACACTGCAATATAGAGAAACACTTGGAACACTATGTACATTGGCTGAATACCTTGAAAGCATTACCTCCAGCAACATAATGAACCTTTTACTCACTGCTGTGTATTGACCGACATACATAAACTACGATATTATGAACTTGTCAAGACTCGCCTAGCTGCTCCACACAATGATCCAGACTCATGAGACAACTACATACATCACATGCAGCTTCAGGTAGCATAACCTGATAACAACAAGTATTTGTCACAGAGTGACGAAATATCCCCCGCCATATACACCATAGTACCAAATATGAAGACAATCCAGCGATTAGTTCTTGAGATATTGTGGCAACACCGTTTTCCAACTCCAAAAACAGATTTGCCTGCTGTGACCTTGAAAATTGGGTCAAGGTCACCAAATCTGACAGGTGTATGCGGTGTCTGTATATACACTATAGTTCCAAATATGAAGACAATCCAGCCATTAGTTCTTGAGATATCGCGGCAACACCGTTTTCTAACTCCAAAAGCAGATTTGCCTGCTGTGACCTTGAAA